CTCAAACCTGACCTCAAACCTGACGTCAAACCTGACCTCAAACCTGACCTCAAACCAGACTTCAAGCCTGACCTCAAACCTGACTTCAAACCTGACCTCAAACCTGACCCCAAACATGACGTCAAACCTGACATCAAACCTGACGTCAAACCTGACATCAAACCTGACCTCAAACCTGACCTCAAACCTGACGTCAAACCTGACCTCAAACCTGACCTCAAACCTGACGTCAAACCTGACCTCAAACGTGACCTCAAACCTGACCTCAAACCTGACCTCAAACCTGACCTCAAACCTGACCTCAAACCTGACCTCAAACCTGACCTCAAACCTGACCTTAAACCTGACCTCTCATACCTGACCTCAAACCTGACCTCAAACCTGACCTCAAACCTGACCTCAAACCTGACCTCAAACCTGATGTCAAACCAGACTTCAAGCCTGACCTCAAACCTGACTTCAAACCTGACCTCAAACCTGACCCCAAACCTGACGTCAACCTGACATCAAACCTGACCTCAAACCTGACCTCAAACCTGACCTCAAACCTGACCTCAAACCTGACCTCAAACCTGACCTCAAACCAGACCTCAAACCTGACCTCAAACCTGACCTCAAACCTGACCCCAAACCTGACCTCAAACCTGACCTCAAACCTGACGTCAAACTTATCTCAAACCTGACCTCGAAACGTCAAACCTGACCTCAAACCTGACCTCAAACCTGATCTCAAACCTGACCTCCAACCTGACCTCAAACCTGACCTCAAACCTGACCTCAAAACCTGACGTCAAACCTGATGTCAAACCTGACCTCAAACCTGACCTCAAACCTGACGTCAAACCTGACCTCAAACCTGACCTTAAACCTGACCTCAAACCTGACCTCAAACCTGACCTCAAACCTGACCTCAAACCTGACCTCAAACCTGACCTTAAACCTGACCTCTCATACATGACCTCAAACCTGACCTCAAACCTGACCTCAAACCTGACCTCAAACCTGACCTCAAACCTGACCTCAAACCAGACTTCAAGCCTGACCTCAAACCTGACTTCAAACCTGACCTCAAACCTGACCCCAAACCTGACCCCAAACCTGACTTCAAACCTGACCTCAAACCTGACCTCAAACCTGAACTCAAACCTGACCTCCAACCTGACCTCAAACCTGACCTCAAATCTGACCTCAAAACCTGACGTCAAACCTGATGTCAAACCTGACCTCAAACCTGACCTCAAACCTGACGTCAAACCTGACCTCAAACCTGACCTTAAACCTGACCTCAAACCTGACCTCAAACCTGACCTCAAACCTGACCTCAAACCTGACCTCAAACCTGACCTTAAACCTGACCTCTCATACCTGACCTCAAACCTGACCTCAAACCTGACCTCAAACCTGACCTCAAACCTGACGTCAAACCTGACCTCAAACCAGACTTCAAGCCTGACCTCAAACCTGACTTCAAACCTGACCTCAAACCTGACCCCAAACCTGACCCCAAACCTGACTTCAAACCTGACCTCAAACCTGACCTCAAACCTGATCTCAAACCTGACCTCCAACCTGACCTCAAACCTGACCTCAAACCTGACCTCAAAACCTGACGTCAAACCTGATGTCAAACCTGACCTCAAACCTGACCTCAAACCTGACGTCAAACCTGACCTCAAACCTGACCTTAAACCTGACCTCAAACCTGACCTCAAACCTGACCTCAAACCTGACCTCAAACCTGACCTCAAACCTGACCTTAAACCTGACCTCTCATACCTGACCTCAAACCTGACCTCAAACCTGACCTCAAACCTGACCTCAAACCTGACCTCAAACCTGACCTCAAACCAGACTTCAAGCCTGACCTCAAACCTGACTTCAAACCTGACCTCAAACCTGACCCCAAACCTGACGTCAAACCTGACATCAAACCTGACCTCAAACCTGACCTCAAACCTGACCTCAAACCTGACCTCAAACCTGACCTCAAACCTGACCTCAAACCTGACCTCAAACCTGACCTCAAACCTGACCCCAAACCTGACCTCAAACCTGACCTCAAACCTGACGTCAAACTTATCTCAAACCTGACCTCAAACCTGACCTCAAACCTGATCTCAAACCTGACCTCAAACCTGACCTCAAACCTGACCTCAAACCTGACCTCAAAACCTGACGTCAAACCTGATGTCAAACCTGACCTCAAACCTGACCTCAAACCTGACGTCAAACCTGTCCTCAAACCTGACCTTAAACCTGACCTCAAACCTCACCTCAAACCTGACCTCAAACCTGACCTCAAACCTGACCTCAAACCTGACCTTAAACCTTACCTCAAACCTGCGAAAACCTGACCTCAAACCTGACCTCAAACATGACCTCAAACCTGACCTCAAACCTCACCTGAAACCTGACCTCAAACCTGACGTAAAACCTGACCTCAAACCTGACCTCAAACCTGACCTGAAACCTGACGGCAAACCTGACGTCAAACCTGACCTCAAACCTGACGTCAAACCTGACCTTAAACCTGACCTCAAACCTCACCTCAAACCTGACCTCAAACCTGACCTCAAACCTGACCTCAAACCTGACCTTAAACCTTACCTCAAACCTGCGAAAACCTGACCTCAAACCTGACCTCAAACATGACCTCAAACCTGACCTCAAACCTCACCTGAAACCTGACCTCAAACCTGACGTAAAACCTGACCTCAAACCTGACCTCAAACCTGACCTGAAACCTGACGGCAAACCTGACGTCAAACCTGACCTCAAACCTGACGTCAAACCTGACCTCAAACCTGACCTCAAACCTGACCTCAAAACTGACCTCAAACCTGATGTCAAACCTGATGTCAAACCTGACCTCAAACCTGACCTCAAACCTGACCTCAAACCTGACCTCAAACCTGACGTCAAACCTGACCTCAAACCTGACCTCAAACCAGACTTCAAGCCTGACCTCAAACCTGACTTCAAACCTGACCTCAAACCTGACCCCAAACCTGACGTCAAACCTGACATCAAACCTGACCTCAAACCTGACCTCAAACCTGACCTCAAACCTGACCTCAAAACCTGACGTCAAACCTGATGTCAAACCTGACCTCAAACCTGACCTCAAACCTGACGTCAAACCTGTCCTCAAACCTGACCTTAAACCTGACCTCAAACCTCACCTCAAACCTGACCTCAAACCTGACCTCAAACCTGACCTCAAACCTGACCTTAAACCTTACCTCAAACCTGCGAAAACCTGACCTCAAACCTGACCTCAAACATGACCTCAAACCTGACCTCAAACCTCACCTGAAACCTGACCTCAAACCTGACGTAAAACCTGACCTCAAACCTGACCTCAAACCTGACCTCAAACCTGACGGCAAACCTGACGTCAAACCTGACCTCAAACCTGACGTCAAACCTGACCTTAAACCTGACCTCAAACCTGACCTCAAACCTGACCTCAAAACTGACCTCAAACCTGATGTCAAACCTGATGTCAAACCTGACCTCAAACCTGACCTCAAACCTGACCTCAAACCTGACCTCAAACCTGACGTCAAACCTGACCTCAAACCTGACCTCAAACCAGACTTCAAGCCTGACCTCAAACCTGACTTCAAACCTGACCTCAAACCTGACCCCAAACCTGACGTCAAACCTGACATCAAACCTGACCTCAAACCTGACCTCAAACCTGACCTCAAACTTGACCTCAAACCTGACCTCAAACCTGACCTCAAACCTGACCTCAAACCTGACCTCAAACCTGACCTTAAACCTGACCTCTCATACCTGACCTCAAACCTGACCTCAATCCTGACCTCAAACCTGACCTCAAACCTGACCTCAAACCTGACCTCAAACCTGACGTCAAACCAGACTTCAAGCCTGACCTCAAACCTGACTTCAAACCTGACCTCAAACCTGACCCCAAACCTGACGTCAACCTGACATCAAACCTGACCTCAAACCTGACCTCAAACCTGACCTCAAACCTGACCTCAAACCTGACCTCAAACCTGACCTCAAACCAGACCTCAAACCTGACCTCAAACCTGACCTCAAACCTGACCCCAAACCTGACCTCAAACCTGACCTCAAGCCTGACGTCAAACTTATCTCAAACCTGACCTCGAAACGTCAAACCTGACCTCAAACCTGACCTCAAACCTGATCTCAAACCTGACCTCAAACCTGACCTCAAACCTGACCTTAAACCTGACCTCAAAACCTGACGTCAAACCTGATGTCAAACCTGACCTCAAACGTGACCTCAAACCTGACGTCAAACCTGACCTCAAACCTGACCTTAAACCTGACCTCAAACCTGACCTCAAACCTGACCTCAAACCTGACCTCAAACCTGACCTCAAACCTGACCTTAAACCTGACCTCTCATACCTGACCTCAAACCTGACCTCAAACCTGACCTCAAACCTGACCTCAAACCTGACCTCAAACCAGACTTCAAGCCTGACCTCAAACCTGACTTCAAACCTGACCTCAAACCTGACCCCAAACCTGACGTTAAACCTGACATCAAACCTGACCTCAAACCTGACCTCAAACCTGACCTCAAACCTGACCTCAAATCTGACCTCAAACCTGACCTCAAACCTGACCTCAAACCTGATCTCAAACCTGACCTCAAACCTGACCTCAAACCTGACCTCAAACCTGACCTCAAAACCTGACGTCAAACCTGATGTCAAACCTGACCTCAAACCTGACCTCAAACCTGACGTCAAACCTGTCCTCAAACCTGACCTTAAACCTGACCTCAAACCTGACCTCAAACCTGACCTCAAACCTGACCTCAAACCTGACCTCAAACCTGACCTTAAACCTTACCTCAAACCTGCGAAAACCTGACCTCAAACCTGACCTCAAACATGACCTCAAACCTGACCTCAAACCTCACCTGAAACCTGACCTCAAACCTGACGTAAAACCTGACCTCAAACCTGACCTCAAACCTGACCTCAAACCTGATGGCAAACCTGACGTCAAACCTGACCTCAAACCTGACGTCAAACCTGACCTTAAACCTGACCTCAAACCTGCAAAATCCTGACCTCAAACCTGACCTCAAACATGACCTCAAACCTGACCTCAAACCTCACCTGAAACCTGACCTCAAACCTGACGTAAAACCTGACCTCAAACCTGACCTCAAACCTGACCTCAAACCTGACCTGAAACCTGACCTCAAACCTGACGTCAAACCAGACTTCAAGCCTGACCTCAAACCTGACTTCAAACCTGACCTCAAACCTGACCCCAAACCTGACGTCAACCTGACATCAAACCTGACCTCAAACCTGACCTCAAACCTGACCTCAAACCTGACCTCAAACCTGACCTCAAACCTGACCTCAAACCAGACCTCAAACCTGACCTCAAACCTGACCTCAAACCTGACCCTAAACCTGACCTCAAACCTGACCTCAAACCTGACGTCAAACTTATCTCAAACCTGACCTCAAAACGTCAAACCTGACCTCAAACCTGACCTCAAACCTGATCTCAAACCTGACCTCAAACCTGATCTCAAACCTGACCTCAAACCTGACCTCAAACCTGACCTCAAACCTGACCTCAAAACCTGACGTCAAACCTGACCTCAAACCTGACCTCAAACCTGACCTCAAACCTGACCTCAAACCTGACCTCAAACCTGACCTCAAAACCTGACGTCAAACCTGATGTCAAACCTGACCTCAAACCTGACCTCAAACCTGACGTCAAACCTGACCTCAAACCTGACCTTAAACCTGACCTCAAACCTGACCTCAAACCTGACCTCAAACCTGACCTCAAACCTGACCTCAAACCTGACCTTAAACCTGACCTCTCATACCTGACCTCAAACCTGACCTCAAACCTGACCTTAAACCTGACCTCAAACCTGACCTCAAACCTGACCTAAAACCAGACTTCAAGCCTGACCTCAAACCTGACTTCAAACCTGACCTCAAACCTGACCCCAAACCTGACGTTAAACCTGACATCAAACCTGACCTCAAACCTGACCTCAAACCTGACCTCAAACCTGACCTCAAACCTGACCTCAAACCTGACCTCAAACCTGACCTCAAACCTGACCTTAAACCTGACCTCAAACCTGACCTCAAACCTGACCTAAAACCAGACTTCAAGCCTGACCTCAAACCTGACTTCAAACCTGACCTCAAACCTGACCCCAAACCTGACGTTAAACCTGACATCAAACCTGACCTCAAACCTGACCTCAAACCTGACCTCAAACCTGACCTCAAACCTGACCTCAAACCTGACCTCAAACCTGACCTCAAACCTGATCTCAAACCTGACCTCAAACCTGACCTCAAACCTGACCTCAAACCTGACCTCAAAACCTGACGTCAAACCTGATGTCAAACCTGACCTCAAACCTGACCTCAAACCTGACGTCAAACCTGTCCTCAAACCTGACCTTAAACCTGACCTCAAACCTGACCTCAAACCTGACCTCAAACCTGACCTCAAACCTGACCTCAAACCTGACCTTAAACCTTACCTCAAACCTGCGAAAACCTGACCTCAAACCTGACCTCAAACATGACCTCAAACCTGACCTCAAACCTCACCTGAAACCTGACCTCAAACCTGACGTAAAACCTGACCTCAAACCTGACCTCAAACCTGACCTCAAACCGGACGGCAAACCTGACGTCAAACCTGACCTCAAACCTGACGTCAAACCTGACCTTAAACCTGACCTCAAACCTGCAAAATCCTGACCTCAAACCTGACCTCAAACATGACCTCAAACCTGACCTCAAACCTCACCTGAAACCTGACCTCAAACCTGACGTAAAACCTGACCTCAAACCTGACCTCAAACCTGACCTCAAACCTGACCTCAAACCTGACCTCAAACCTGACGTCAAACCAGACTTCAAGCCTGACCTCAAACCTGACTTCAAACCTGACCTCAAACCTGACCCCAAACCTGACGTCAACCTGACATCAAACCTGACCTCAAACCTGACCTCAAACCTGACCTCAAACCTGACCTCAAACCTGACCTCAAACCTGACCTCAAACCAGACCTCAAACCTGACCTCAAACCTGACCTCAAACCTGACCCCAAACCTGACCTCAAACCTGACCTCAAACCTGACGTCAAACTTATCTCAAACCTGACCTCGAAACGTCAAACCTGACCTCAAACCTGACCTCAAACCTGATCTCAAACCTCACCTCAAACCTGATCTCAAACCTGACCTCAAACCTGACCTCAAACCTGACCTCAAACCTGACCTCAAAACCTGACGTCAAACCTGACCTCAAACCTGACCTCAAACCTGACCTCAAACCTGACCTTAAACCTGACCTCAAACCTGACCTCAAACCTGACGTCAAACCTGACCTCAAACCTGACCTCAAACCTGACCTCAAACCTGACCTCAAACCTGACGTCAAACCTGACCTCAAACCTGACGTCAAACCTGACCTGAAACCTGATCTCAAACCTGACCTCAAACCTGACCTCAAACCTGACCTCAAACCTGACCTCAAACCTGACGTCAAACCTGACCTCAAACCTGACCTCAAACCTGACCTCAAACCTGACCTCAAATCTGACCTCAAACCTGACCTCAAACCTGAAGGCAAACCTGATGTCAAACCAGACGTCAAACCTTACCTCAAACCTGACCTCAAACCTGAAGGCAAACCTGACGTCAAACCAGACGTCAAACCTGACCTCAAACCTGACCTCAAACCTGACCTCAGACCTGACCTCAAACCTGACCTCCAACCTGTCCTCAAACCTGACCTCAAACCTGACCTCAAACCTGACCTCAAACCTGACCTCAAACCTGATGTCAAACCTGACCTCAAACCTTACCTCAAACCTGACCTCAAACCTGACGTCAAACCTGACCTCAAACAATACATCAAACCTGACCTCAAACCTGACCGCAAACCTGACGGCAAGCCTGAACTCAAACCTGACCTCAAACCTGATGTCAAGCCTGACGTCAAACCTGACGTCAAACCTGACCTCAAACCTGACGGCAAACCTGACCTTAAACCTGACCTCAAACCTGACCTCAAACCTGACGGCAAGCCTGAACTCAAACCTGACCTCAAACCTGATGTCAAACCTGACGTCAAACCTGACGTCAAACCTGACCTCAAACCTGACGGCAAACCTGACCTCAAACCTGACGTCAAACCTGACCTCAAACCTGACCCCAAACCTGACCTCAAACCTGACCTCAAACCTGACTTCAAACCTGACCTCAAACCTGACCTCAAACATGACCTCAAACCTGATGTCAAACCTGACGTCAAACCTGACCTCAAACCTGACCTCAAACCTGACCTCAAACCTGACCTCAAACCTGACCTCAAACCTGATGTCAAACCTGACCTCAAACCTTACCTCAAACCTGACCTCAAACCTGACGTCAAACCTGACCTCAAACAATACATCAAACCTGACCTCAAACCTGACCGCAAACCTGACGGCAAGCCTGAACTCAAACCTGACCTCAAACCTGATGTCAAACCTGACGTCAAACCTGACGTCAAACCTGACCTCAAACCTGACGGCAAACCTGACCTTTAACCTGACCTCAAACCTGACCTCAAACCTTACGGCAAGCCTGAACTCAAACCTGACCTCAAACCTGATGTCAAACCTGACGTCAAACCTGACGTCAAACCTGACCTCAAACCTGACGGCAAACCTGACCTCAAACCTGACGTCAAACCTGACCTCAAACCTGACCCCAAACCTGACCTCAAACCTGACCTTATACCTGACTTCAAACCTGACCTCAAACCTGACCTCAAACATGACCTCAAACCTGATGTCAAACCTGACGTCAAACCTGACCTCAAACCTGACCTCAAACCTGACCTCAAACCTGACCTCAAACCTGACCTCAAACCTGACCTCAAACCTGACCTCAAACCTGACCTCAAACCTGACGTCAAACCTGACGTCAAACCTGACGTCAAACCTGACGTCAAACCTGACTTCAAACCTGACCTCAAACCTGACCTCAAACCTGACGTCAAACCTGACCTCAAACCTGACCTCAAACCTGACTTCAAACCTGACCTCAAACCTGACGTCAAACCTGACCTCAAACCTGACCTCAAACCTGACTTCAAACCTGACCTCAAACCTGACCTCAAACCTGACCTCAAACCTGACCTCAAACCTGACCTCAAACCTGACCTCAAACCTGACCTCAAACCTGACCTCAAACCTGACTTCAAACCTGACCTCAAACCTGACCTCAAACCTGACCTCAAACCTGACGTCAAACCTGACGGCAAACCTGACGTCAAACCTGACGTCAAACCTGACCTCAAACCTGATGTCAAACCTGACCTCAAACCTGACGTCAAACCTGACCTCAAACCTGGCGTCAAACCTGACGTCAAACCTGATCTCAAACCTGAGCTTCATGCTGCACCAGTGAGCTTCACGCTGTAACTTGTAGGTTTGAGGTGACTCGTAGGATTGAGGGGTCTAGTAGGTTCTAGGTGACTCGTAGGTTTGATGTGACTCATAGGTTTGATGTGACTCATAGGTTTGATGTGACTCATAGGTTTGATGTGACTCATGGGTTTGATGTGACTCGTTGGTTTGATGTGACTCGTACCGGTAGGTTTGATGTGACTCGTAGGTTTGAGGTGACTAGTAGATTTGAGGTGTTTAGTAGGTTTGAGGTGACTAGTAGGTTTGAGGTGACTAGTAGGTTTGAGGTGACTAGTAGGTTTGAGGTGACTAGTAGGTTTGAGGTGACTAGTAGGTTTGAGGTGACTAGTAGGTTTGAGGTGACTAGTAGGTTTGATGTGACGCGTAGGTTTGAGGTGACGCGTAGGTTTGAGGTGTCTTGTAGATTTGAGGTGTTTAGTAGGTTTGAGGTGACTAGTAGGTTTGAGGTGACTAGTAGGTTTGAGGCGACAGTAAGGTGACTTTTGAGAATTCTCAGAAGTTACAGTCTGTGTGTGGTGATTGTGGTGCGAGTTGGTGGTGTGTTGGTGAGGTGGTGTGGTATGGTGTCGTCTGCTGTGCTGGTGCTGTGCTGTTGCGGCATGAGGTGAGGTGTTCTGGTATGGTGGGCTGTGCTGTGCTGTTGCGGCATGCATCATGCCACAGGCAGGATGTGATGCAGTAGCTGGAAGGAAGTGGGCACTAGACGCAACTCAGGCCAAAGAAGATTCTTTGGTGGGAGCCTGGGAGGGAAGGAGTGGAGATTCAGGACTTCTGTTGGTATGCCTCGCCACGCTGCCATGCTGTGCCATGCCATCCATGCCGTGCCATGCCATCCATGTCGTGCCATGCCATCCATGCCGTCTAACAGCATCTTGTTACTGTCACGGACTGGTCTGGTGTATTGAGTCGACCAAATAACCATCCTTGTCTCCAGAGCCAGCACATCACACCCTCACACCCCCCCTCCTCCCCACCTCTTTGCCATTGCCGGTACATTGTACAAACAGTTTAAAGCCCGAGTACAGCATGGTTATTTTCAAGTTCAAGATTCTTGAACTTGAAATCGTCAAAAACAGGGTTACCCTACTTTGTTTGACGGAACTCTTGCGACTCTGGGACAACGCCTAGCGACACTCTCTCCTCATTGGCTTTGGGCACAATCGCAAAACAGAACCGAACGTCGCTCAGGTTGGCCCGCTGTTTGGCTCTCACATATCTTCAACGCCTAGCAGTACTCATGACCAGCCCAGTACCTCACGTAAGTAGGAAGCCAGTAGGCATCAGCTAGTTCCCCTGACCGCGTTTTTTATGGCAACTCACGTCACTCATGCTGTCTCGCCAATAGCTGGGCAGCACAAGCCTAGTGTCGCTGTCGAAATATACATACGTTTTCGCGTCACTCACATGGAATGTGTGAGACAAACGAGGTCTTCACCATGCTACCCTACGTTTAGCGCGCGTCGTCACCCGCGCTCCCCCAGCGCCACCCGCGCCTGCCCTCGTTACTCGCACCTGCCCTCGTCACTCGCACCTGCCCTCGTCACTCGCACCTGCCCTCGTCACTCGCACCTGCCCTCGTCACTCGCACCTGCCCTCGTCACTCGCGCCTGCCCTCGTCACTCGCGCCTGCCCTCGTCACTCGCGCCTGCCCTCGTCACTCGCGCCTGCCCTCGTCACTCGCGCCTGCCCTCGTCACTCGCGCCTACCCTCGTCACTCGCGCCTGCCCTCGTCACTCGCGCCTGCCCTCGTCACTCGCGCCTGCCCGGGATTCCGTGCTTCGCCTCGTCATGCGCTTCCCTTCGTCACGCGCGATTCCCTTCGTCACGCACATTTCCGCTCGTCGCGCACGTGCCTTCTCGTCACGCGCGCTTCCCCTCGCTGCGCGATCTCCTACCCTCGCCGCACGCATTTCCCCTCGTTACGCGCAATCCTCCCCTCGTCACGCGTGCTTCCCCTCGTTACGCGCACTCCTCTCCTCGTCACGCGCTCAACCATTCACTCGCGATCTTCTGTAGACCCCTAGCTGCAGCCGACGGCACGCGCATGTGTCGTTGCCCCAGTTTCTCCTCTAGGCCCTCGCCTCCCGTCGTCGCCTCTGCCACCCCAATTGGGCGGGGGACAGGAAGGGAACGGGCGGGGGAGATGAGAAGGACAGAAGGGGAAGGACAAGGGGGAGAGGGGGAAGGACAGAGGGTGAGAGACAGAGGGGGACGGACAAATGGGGAGGGACAAAGGGGGAAGGACACAGGTGGAGAGACAGAGGGTGAAGGGCCGAGGGGGAGAGACAGAAGTTGAAGGATGGAGGGGGAGGAACAGAGGGGGAGGGGCAGAGAGTGAGAGACAGAGGTAAGAGCGGGTACTTCCCTCACTCCCTCTCCCTGTCGACCTCACTTCCCTCAAATTGTTTACACCCCTCTTTATTTTGACCAACCTCCCTTTCTCCCACCAGCTCTGTTTACCCCGCAATATATTCTCCGTTGCCTCACCTGCTTCCCCCCTCCATCGCCCCTGCTTCCACCCTCCCTCCGCCCTGCTTCCCCCCTCCCTATGCCCTGCTTCCCCCCTCCCTATGCCCTGCTTCCCCCCTCCCTATGCCCTGCTTCCCCCCTCCCTATGCCCTGCTTCCCCCCTCCCTATGCCCTGCTTCCCCCCTCCCTATGCCCTGCTTCCCCCCTCCCTATGCCCTGCTTCCCCCCTCCCTCAGAGAGGTGAGCGCCGCGCACCACGTGAGCATTCGATTTCCCCGGCCTGCCCCTCCTCTCCCTCGATCTCACCATCTTTCCTCTCCCTCCCCATGTACCTCTCCTCTCCCTCCCCATGTACCTCTCCTCTCCCTCCCCATGTACCTCTCCTCTCCCTCCCCTTGTACATTCGCAAAGAGGAGGGGGGACGCACGCGCAACAAGGGGACAGCGCAGCAGACTTGGGAATAAGCTCAGTTTCTTTTCTCCCCGTCTTCCTGCCTCCACCCAACTCCTTGCAGACTTATTTGGACTGCATGCACATTCTCAAGGAGGGGGGGCGCAGGTGCAATTAGGGGGCAGCGCAGCAGCCTTGGGAGCGATCTCACGTCCCCCCTCCCCTGCGCTCTCTCCTCTTCCCTTCTCATTCCAGACCTATCTGGATTCCATTCACATTCGCAAGGAGTACAACGGGCGCACGCGCAACAACGGGGCAGTGCAGCAGCCGCAATCACAGCCGCTGGCAGCATCTGGTGATACTGCCATCCCTCTCGTTGCCCTGCCTGCCTCTGTCATACTGCCCCTTTTGCTCCCTCCCTCCTTCCTGCAACCCTCTCCCGTTCTTTCCAACCTCGTGTTCCCTGTATTCCTGACTCCCCCTTCACTGCCGTATTGGGGAACAGTTCCCCACCGCCTGCATTCTCCTAACATACCCTCCTGCCCACCACAGACCATGATCCTACAACCCAATCTTCTCTTCCTCCCATCATCTCCACCCCATGTACCTTGATCCGTCCCTCTTGCTCGCACAATAACACCGACTATCCTTCTCTCTCTTTCTCTCATCGTGTGTCTCCCTCTGTAGATCCCTCTCTTCATCTCCCCCTCTCACCATCTCCCCCTCTCACCATCTCCCCCTCTCACCATCTCTCCCTCTCTCCCTCTGACTCTCTCCCTCCCTCCATCGCTCCCTCCCTCCCTCTCCCTCTCTCCACCTCTCTCCCTCTCTGCCTCGCTCCATATCCCCCTCTCCCCGTCTCTCTCCCTCTTTCGTACTCTGGTGGGTAGGTGAATGGAGGGCTACTGATTCCTCTGGACGCATGGTCCCTGCTTCCCAAGCCCTCGCCTCACACTCTCCATGCTTCCATTGTTTACCTCTATTCTCGCACAACCAAACTCCCTCTTTCCTGCCCTTGCACTCCCATTCTTCCTCGCAGTTATCATATCCACACCTGCCGTCTTCCCCTCTCTTCCTGCCCCACCACCTCTCCTTCCCGCCTCCCCATCTCCCTTTCCTGCCTTCCCACCTTTCCACCCATCGCTCATCCCTTTGTTTCCGCGTCAAGCAGGACTAGTTGGGGCTCAGAGGAGTTTGGCAGCGTAAAGGGAGCAGTAGGAGGCACAGGAAAGTGTTGAGCGAACCCTGAAATGCTAGAGCAGAGGACAACACTCGCATTTACCTTGAAATGTGTACACCATATTGCTCAAATTGCATACCTCAGTGCTGTGCCCAGTTGCATCATGTAACAATTCGTTATCTATAGGTGTAAGGTTTGCAAGTTACAGATGTTATCTACGTTATCAAAGCTATTGCATGTGCTGGAAATCTTGAATGAACTGTTGTAATATCCTATCAGATCGTTTGATACACTAATGCCACACACACACAAGCCGTTACAACTGTGCACTGGTATTTGGTTCCACCAAGGTGCAAAGAGCCCCACTCAAGAACAAGAGGGCTGGATGTCCATTGTGGTGCTGTGGAGGAAAAAAAAACAGAAAGGAAAGGGGGAACAGAGGGTAAGCTGGAGGGTTAGGAAGGGTGAGCAGGGGGGAGGAAGGCTAGCACGGGGCAAAGGAAGGGGTAAGCAAGGGGGGACCATAATGAACAGCAGGGGGGAAATGAGGGGACGCAGGGGGAGAAATGAGGGGACGCAGGGGGAGAAATGAGGGGACGCAGGGGGAGAAATGAGGGGACGCAGGGGGAGAAATGAGGGGACGCAGGGGGAGAAATGAGGGGACGCAGGGGGAGAAATGAGGGGACGCAGGGGGAGAAATGAGGGGAAGCAGGGGCGGAAACGAGGGGAAGCAAGGGATGAAAGGTAGGACAGAGAGGAAGGGAGGAGGTGCGGAAGAGAGGAAGGGAGCAATGGAGGAGATTGGACGAGGGAGGGAACCAGGGACTAGCAGGGAGGGAATAGGGGGCTAACAGGGGGAAAGCAAGTGGCTAGCGAGGGGGTGGACAAGAGTAGAAGAGGGATAGGAGAAGGAGAGGAAAAAGGAAAAGGGGGAGGAGGAGAAGGAGGAGATAGGAAGAGGGGGAGGAGGAGAAAAAGGGAGAGAAGGATTTGGGGGGATAGGGAAGATGGGAGAGGGAAGGGAGGACATTGGAAGAGGGAGGAGAGGGATTGGAAGAGGGAGGAGAGGGAATGGAGGAGATTGGAAGAGGGAGGAGAGGCAAGGGACGGGCGTAAGGTGGTGGAGAGGAACAGGGCAAGCAGCGGGGGAAAATGAAGGAAATGAGAGGGAGAAATTAGGGGAAGGAGAGGGCTGGAAAGGAGGGGAAGCAGGGGCGGAAGGGAGGGGAAGCAGGAACGGAAAGGAGGGGAAGCAGGGGCGGAAAGGAGGGGAAGCAGGGGGGGAAAGGAGGGGAAGCAAGTGGGAAAAGGAGGGGAAGCAGGGGGAAAAAGGAGGGGAAGAGGGGGCGAAAGGAGGGGAAGCAGGGGGGAAAAGGAGGGGAAGCAAGGGGGGAAAGGAGGGGAAGCAGGGGGGGAAAGGAGGGGAAGCAGGGGGGGAAAGGAGGAGAAGCAAGGGCGGAAAGGAGGGGGAGCAAGGGCGGAAAGGAGGGGAAGCAAGGGGGGGAAGGAGGGGAATCAGGGGAATCCACGCCTCATCCCCTTCCGCGCTTCATCCACTTCCGCGCCTCATCCACTTCCGCGCCTCATCCACTTCCGCGCCTCATCCACTTCCGCGGCTCATCCACTTGCGCGCCTCATCCCCTTCCAAGCAACCCAGGAGCGCGCGCTGCTCGTCGCCTGGTACGCGCGCTGCGCGTCGCCCGGAGCTCGCGCTGCGAGTCGCAGGGAGCGCGTGCTGCTAGACGCCCGAAGCGGGTGCTGTTCGTCGCCGGTTGCGCGTGCTTCGTGTAGCGAGATGCGCGCACCTATACCCTCGACCGGTGCGCAGTCCGCTCCTTCGCCCGGTGAGCGCTCTGGTCCCCGCCCGAAGGGACCCTACAGCGTGGGCTCTCTTCTATCTGCAGGGTTCTAGAATGTCGTCACGCCCGTACTACAGCTAGCATTCTTTGGAGTGACTAGTTCCTACGGTCTTACCGTACTCTACAGAATGACAATTTCCGTCTCCAACACGTCCTTAGCACGTGTGCGTCGCTCTGTTTTTCTATATCCCGTTAGCATCGAGATGAATTAGTGGGGAGGCAACGTGCAGTGCAGGCAGACTTCGTCAGTTGGAGGAGTGACCATTTGTGTGAAACCTCCTTCATGCGACACACTTTCGCATTGGGTTGGTGGGTGTAAGGAATTTCGCTAATTCCTTACTGAGGCACCTCTTACCCGTACAATTCCAACTTTCGGAATTCAGGCTGGGTCCGTCGAACTCGCCTCCCGAACGTCTCCCGCGTCGCCTTCGGGTTTCCCAACCCCAAACCTACACCCAACCTTCGCGCGACTCCGCGACCTCGGCTTAGCTAGCTGTGCTATATTATGCCTAGGCCTCGTTTGCTCAGTAGTTGTAATCACTTCCGCGATATTGCATTCTGCGCACTCTTCTTTCATACAACTCATAACACTTGGTATCAGAGCTACTTTCCTAGGTTACCCTCCACTTTCCGGGGTAGTTTTAGTGCAGGGGTGCGATAGGTTTGGTGGGCTGCAAAGCGGTCGGCTGAGAGATAGATACGATTATCTCGCTCCGACTAATAGCGTTTGCGCCTTCATCAAAACCATAAAAATCGCTGTTAACCCGCTGCCCGCTAGGATGAGTCTCCGAAATATGACGCAAGCAGAGTTTGACGTGTTCTTGCAGGACTTTCGGGCGATGCAGTCCAACATGCAGACTATGTCTGGCGAGTTGGATCGCATGAGGGTGGAAAACGCCGAGCTACGCCAGACGCGAGGTGAAGCGCGTCAGGAGTCGCCCGCCGTGGATGAAGCAAGTAGCAGCTTCGCGCCTAACGACGAGGTCCTCAGCGAGCTACAGAACTCGCTGGACGCTGAAGATGAGTGGACGGCACGGACGCAACGAGCACAAGGGACGCAGGAACAACAGTCACAGCCGCAGCAACAGACACGAGCGGCGCCGAGGCAACAGTCGCAGACTACGCCACGTCAGGCAACAGCGACAACCCCGGTGATGGCTTCAGTGGCGCCCCCGATGCATACAGCAGCAACAGTCTCAACAACTGTTAGCCGACGAACCCACCCCCGTTCAACCCCAGCGACAAACCGTCACTGTGTCGGCATGGTTGTTCGGTGTAGAGGTGTTTTTCAATGCTTCTTTCATACCGTATCCCCCCGGATATACCCCCATGGGGGGCAATAATAAAACAGGTTTTTTCATGGGGGTGGGCTTATAATCGAGTAAATTTATAAGCGCCGGCGTTTATAAAATGACATACATATTTTTTTATATCTTTTAACACCAAACTGTAGGTCTCGTGCTTGCCTTTTCAATCGAGTCGAAGTTACATGGGATCGTCTGTGAAATTCTCGCGCGCGCTGGGAGATACACCCAATCTGACTCACATCCAGCTCCTGACAGATCCTGCTGACTGGACCCGCATCCAGTGCAGGGTCCGAATGTGAAGGGAACCGATTCTGCAACATATCCGCCTGCTAAAGTAAAAATCGTTACAGCTTTTTGAACACATTTCAAATTTTAAAGTTTACGTGCGCTTATAATAAAACAAGTTTTTTCAAGGGGTGCGCTTATAATCGAGGAGGGGATATAAGCGTCATATGCCAATTAGAAGCGCCAGGCGCTTATCCTAGGGTGGCGCTTATATCCGGGGGGAGACGGTACAACTCATAACAGTGGGAATCGCAGATTGGGTGTGTGCAAAATTTTTAATTGCTCGCGGAGGAAACTTGGCCTCGCCAAAGCAACACAACCGAAATAGGTTTCGCACACCTTCGTTTTGTACTATTTCAACCTCACATACAGTAACTTGAAAATTTACCATGCTGACCCCGGGCTTTAATCATGTGAGGAAAAAGTAATCATACCTAGTATCCCATCTTGCCATACATACATCCCCTTTCATATTGATAGATAATAAGGGACACCTACCACCTATTTAAACTCCCGAGTCTATCAGCGGAAAGAGTTTTGAGAAAATAACCATGGAATTGATCATGCCAGACAAGTGGGGGAAGACCAAACAATGCTGGAGGTCGCCACACTAGGGTTGCCGAAAGCATTTGCCCTATGCAGGTCATAATAGCACCGCAGTCTTCTCATCCCTCCAGTCAGCACGTGGCCTCCCTGGCTACTTCGTATTTTTATCAGCACAAGCCTTCGTGCTTACTCTTTCTCCTGCACGTCCTTTGCATCGGGGTCGCCGGCCTCTTTCACAGCCTCTTGGAGTTGATTCACTATTTTCTCTGCTTCAGCATCTATGTCCAACGCTTTCAGCTTCCCAAACGGACGCGGCATGGACTGCATACAACGCACATCATGATCGGATCGTAGTGAAAGCGTTAGAAGAGAGACACAAACACAAACTTCTAAACACGTGAAATTGCCTTGTGAAACACAGGTGAGGTCATTAAGCAGCAAGTGGGTCAAGAGAAGGCGGCATCAGAATGGAGAGATGCTATGACAACGAGAGAGGGGGAGGGGGAGGGGGGGGGGGGGGGAGAGGGAGAGAGAGAGAGAGAGAGAGAGAGAGAGAGAGAGAGAGAGAGAGAGAGAGAGAGAGAGAGAGAGAGAGAGAGAGAGGAGGGAGAGCAGCTCACCAGAAGGGAGATGAACGTGGATGAACCGTCAGCCAATCGCACCTCAAAGCACCCTTTCCGAGGCTGATCGGACATGAGCAAGCACCAAGATACAATGCAGCACCGAGGTATCAAATCAGAAGCAACGTCAACAAGCGTCAGCACTGAATTCCTTCTTGAAGCCAACGAGCGGTTGTCAGCATCGGTTCGTCACGCGGCCCACCTTTTCCGGGTTGATGGAGACGGTCACGTCTGGCAGCGCTACCTTTATCAGCTTCTCCAGCTTCGCCGCGCGCGTCTTGAACGCTCCTCAGGACTTGCTGCAGGTTTGACGGAGATAAGTATAATAAATTAAGCTTTCTCACCAGTCGACAAATACAGGCACACGCGATATATATAAAAAACGATACTCTTCATCTGCAGATTAAAATAGCTACACATGGAAAGGCGAAAAGAGTAAGTACCAGGCTTCGATTATCAAAGTTCTCGCATTCCCAGCATCGCCGCTTGCCGCTTCGACTGCGACCGCAACAGCCTCCTTCGCAGCGCGTGCTCTCGTGGTGGCTGGCTTCTTAGCCGGCGCTGCGCTTGCAGCTGCCTTCCTCTTCTTGGGAGCCATAGCAAAACACCAGCTGACAATTAAATGTTGTGTGATGTCTGTAGCTCTGGTCTCCCTCCCACCACCAGTACAGCTTGCTGTGGTTGGGTGGTGTGAAAGAGAGGGAGGGGGGGGGGGGGGGTAAGAAGTGGGAAAGAGGGGTGGATGTGATGACGAACAGCTGCGACGGGTAGCGAAAGGTCTATGACTCAGCTGTCAGTTCATCACGATGGTTGGCGAGAAAAGGGAATCGATACCAGCTCCGGTACTCGATTGTAGTCTCCGCATTTGAACATTCAGCTTCGCCATTAGCTGAATGGAAACTGCAAGAAACATTTCTACTGCAAAAACAGCCAGGCCTAACTCGCGAAAACCTCCGCACAACCCTCGAAACCATACACCAAAATCCCCAATTTTGACCACTTACCAAACTCCACTCGAACCATTCCCGCGACGCCTCCCCTACACATACCCGCGACTCCCGCACCGCGATTGCCCTCCTTCCAGCAACCGCCAATATCCACGAAGTGTCAGCGGCGAGACGCGCGCACGCCCGTTGTTTAGCTATGCGAGGGTCGGGCATGGCAGCGGCAGTGCCTGCCAACGCGTACCGCTTCTGCTGCCTGTGCGGCACCCTGCTGGACATGCCCTCGGTCGGTAGCGTCGCGCAGTGCGCTCTCTGCGCCACGCCCCAGAACCTACGAGGTGCTCGCGCTTCTTTCTATAGTCTTGAGTTCTCGTCCGTTTCCCCTCCCTCCATTTCGTGTCTCGTCTCGTCTCGTCTCGTCTCGTCTCGTCTCGTCTCGTCTCGTCTCGTCTCGCCTCGTCTCGCTTCGCCCTCGCCTGCCTCTTCCCTCCTCCGCTGCTCCTTCCCCTCCCAATATCCCGTGATTCCATGTGCTCACCGCACGTGATCCGCCCTCCGCGTTGATCAGCTGTCAAAATCATGCGCCCCGCATCCCCTCTTCCCCTCCCCAGATTGGCCGTCGCTTGGCGTGACCACAACCAGCGGTCCGCAGGTACGTGCGCTGCTGTGCCGAGATAGGTGTATTTTCTTGGGGGTAAGAACTGTCGTGTTTTGCGTGCTTCTCCCGCACTCCAGGTTGCTTATCCTGAAACCACCTCCCGCCTCTGCATTCCCCCACGTTAACTCAACTTCACCTCTTCCCGCGCCCACCTTCCCCTACACGCCCTCCGCTCTGCGCGGACGGCGCATTTCCCTGCAAACTTCGCATGCGTAAGTGCGGAATGGGCGCGTGTGGCGCGTGGGCGTGTGCGGGGACGCGCAGGACTTGATGCGGCGGTATGGCGTGGACCCCATCGTGCCACTGGACTCGGACATGGGCGGCGGGGCCAGCAAGGAGAGCATCAAGGAGCGCGCCAAGGTGGGGACGGCAGGGAAGGGTGGGCAGGGAGGGAAGGAGAGAGGGAGAGGGAGAGGGAGAGGGAGAGGGAGAGGGAGAGGGAGAGGGAGGGTGGGTGTGCAAGACATGCTGCCATACACGCTGCAGCGTCAATGCCTGTAGACGACTCGCCTGCTGTGCTGCTCCCGCCCCCGTCTCTCCCACACACATCCCCTACAAACTGAACCCTCCAACCCCTTAAACGTTTGGGTGTGTACGATAATGCCTTACAATGGTGCTGATCCCTCTGCACCTTTATTATCCACCCCCCTTTGGGTTCGCCTACGCGGCTGGTGTGCTCTGTGTGCCGTCTGTGCCCTCTGTTTCCATCCTCTGTGCCTTCAGGTGAATGAGACGTGTCCCAAGTGTGGCAACAAGGAAATGGAGTATTACACCATGCAGGTATGCACGCACCACCCTGCTACCCTGCCTCCCTCGCCACTCTCCTCACACATACCTATCACACACCTGTATCTTCCTCACCAGTCCCTAACCTTGCCCATTCACCTCCCCACTTACAACTCACATCGTACTGTCAAGGTGTTCCCTTTCCACATGTGCCGCAAAGAGTCGATTTTTAAGTCGACTTAAAAATCGTACTGTCAAGGTGTTCCCTTTCCACATGTGCCGCAAAATCTACTCCTATTCCTGCTTCCACATACGCACCCTTTCCCCTTTTGGGTGGCAGTTGCGGTCAGCGGATGAAGGGCAAACAGTGTTCTACGAGTGCACCAAGTGCAAATACAAGTACAGCCTCAACACATGACTTCAAACCCAAACAGCAATGCTGCTGTTTGCTGCACATCACAAGGCACAAGGCCTGCTGTTTCATACAATGTCACAAGGCCTGCTGTAAATCAAGACTTCCCACACTGAAGTTACAGTTAAAACAAGCAACAACTTCAGGTAGTATCATGCTGCTGTATAATAACTATTCTGGGTGACCAGATACTGTAGTCAGAAGTCATGACATGGAAAATGCTATGCTGCCCACATACCTAGAACAGTACCGACCCCTCCCTCGGTCTAAATGCCTTTAAAGCACCCAAATGCACCTCCTCACATTTCATAGTAAGCCAGTGGTATAAGCTACCACTTTCAATGTGCTAGGAGAAGATAGGTATATCATCCTTCAGTCGAACAAAAACCCCAGACAAGGTACTGGGGCAACATAACCAGCACACCCTGTCATTCCAGCAAGCATGCAGTGCAGCAGCTGCAGGGCAGATGTGCTCTAAGGGAAAGCAGAGCAGCACAGCAGGCAGGCAGGCTAAGAGGAGGTGGTGGATCGGGGCATGCTAGTGCCCCCTCCTCGTCTCATCCCCCCTTGCGAGAGCCCCCCCGTCTGCTTTGAAATCCGTGGCATCGCCACAAACGCCCTCTGCCCCGGCCCTGCCCCAGGCCCAGCCCTCTCCCCCCCATGCCCCTGCCCTCCTCCCTCTCCCGCTCCTGCATGCCCCCCTCCCCCTGCCCCGCCCATGCCGCCCATGCTCTGAGGCGCTGCAACTGACATGCCGCGGACCATACTAGACCGCACCCCCATCCCTCCACCTCCTCCCCCTGCCGCCGGGCCCCCTGCCCCTGCCTCTGCCGCTGCAGCTACAGCAGCGGCGGCAGCGGCGGCGGCAGCAGCTGCAGCTGCATCGGATTGGTGCTGGCAGGAGGAGCAGACCCAGCGCTGCGCATAGTGGCCTGATCGGTCCACCACCATTTTGCTGCCCCCGCACCGCCCACACACCACCTTCTTGCACGTCACACACTCAAAGCGCCGCTCTCCCACTGTGAAGTGCCGCTTGCATGCTCCTGCACACACCGACACCTGAGGGAGTGGGGGATATGGGACGATGGGGAGAGGGGCAGAGAACCAGGGGGCGAGGATGCAGGGAGATGGCGTGTTATACAAGGGTCTGAAATGGATGGCGAGGGAGGGAGGCTGGGAAGAAAGGAGTGAAGGATGGAGGGAGGGAGGGGCGGACGGACGGCGGGCACAATGAGCAAGAGGGGGCAAAAAACGAGGGAGTAGAGCAGAGTAGGAGCACTCACCTGCGCATCATGCAGCACAATGTTTTCCGCATCACCATCGGGAATGGCCCAGCATGCAATGTGGCCTGCAATGTCCCCCGAGAACAGCTGGCGCAGCTCCGGGGTGAGGAAGAGCGCAGTGACGGCCTCCTTGTGCCACACGAGCTCGCGGCACAGCACGAGCTTCCACTCAGGGTCCACGCGAGACATGAACGTGCCGGGAACCAGCACCTTCCTTCTTTGCCTGCCACTGCCCGAGAGATGTTCACGGCCTGGCACCACTGCCAACTGATTGTGCAGCAGCTGCTGTGTGGTTCCTGCTGCTGCATCTCCGTTTGCCTGCCTGCCACCCTCGTCCTTGTCTCCCTGCTCCTGCTGCTCCTTGCCTTCCGGGTTCGTCTGCTGAACACTCACCCCACTCGTTCCACTTCCCGACTCCTTGAAGCTGCCGCCATATCCGCTGCCGCTGATGCTGCCACTACCACTGACAGTCTCATGCTCTGCCCTCTTCACAGACACATTCGCCGGCACACACCAGTCCATGCACCACATCTTGATGCTCCCGTTCCTGTGCCCCGTCAGGAACCACCCCGTGTCCATCCAATCCGAGTGCGACGGCGTGGTCACACACGTGATAGCCTCCAGCATGGAGTGTGAAGTGTTCACCTTGGCCAGGCAGTCCCCATTCACCGTCCACACACTCAGCAGAGTTCCTGCGCCCACCACCACATCCCCTGTGCTGTCGCTCACATAGACTACAGACACCGGCGCAGGCATCACCGGAAGCTGCCGGACAAAATCCAGTGAGTTGAGATCCCAGAGGATCACCGTGTGGTCGCTCGACCCAGTCACTACAAGGCCCCACGCTTGGCTCATGGCCAGGGACGTCACAGCCTGAGTGTGCGCGCACAAACGCCGCAGCAGCTGCAGCTGCCGCTGCGCCTGCGCCTGCTGCTGCTGCGCCTGCCCGGGTTGGCTCTGGGACTGCGACGGAGCGCCCCGGCCCGGAGGCCCATCCCCAAGAGACCTCCAGATCGCCACCACTCCATCCGACCCTCCTGTTGCGATAAACGTGCCGTCACGGCTCACAGCAGCACACTGAATCGGCCCGTTGTCATGTAGCGCCTCGTGCGTGGCCAGCAGCTTATCCTGATCCGTGGAAACCACTCTCAGGCTCCCATCCGGGAACCCCCAGAGCAACCGCCGATCATTCGACGTGCCCTTGATCAGCGAGTTACCCACAAGCACTCCCACCTTATCCTTCACCATGAGAATCTGTGTCACCATCTGGCGCACATTCCTTGACTCCTCCATCTGAACGAGATCGTGGTAGCGCAGGCAGTTGACGAGCGGGGGCCGCTGGTGGGTCTCGCGCTTGGGGTGTGGTTTTAAAAAGAGCTGGCGTGGCGTCTGGCCGAAGTTGTTGATCTGCGCGAGGATGGAGGCCTTGGTGGAGGGGTCGGTGATGGCGTCTATGTTGACTGAGCCCTCGTATGTGAGGTAGAAGAACACGTTCACTGCCTCCACTGACGCCTGTTGTGGGGGGGAAGGGGGAGGGGCAGGGGGAAGGGGAGGGGCAGGGGGAGGGGGAGGGGGAGGGGGGGATCGAGGGATGAAGGATGAGGGATGGGAATTGGGAGTGGGGGATGGGGAAGGGGGATGGGAGATGGGAATGGGGATTGGGGTTGTATGGAGGAGGGTTGCCATGGGAGCCGGGAGCAACAACCAAAAGCACCATCCCGTGAAAAAATGAGGGGATGGTGAACAGTGCTCACTAGAGACACGTCCAACGTTCACTGAACACTCATTGTATGCAACCAGTGTGCACGATCAAAAGAGCACATTGGTACAAGTAGGTGTGGGAGCAACAGGTGGTAGGGAGAGAACTAAAGACGAGGAGAGAAGAGGAGAGGTAATAGGAGGGGGCCAGGTGGAGGGGAGGCACGGACGGGGCCTTGCTGCTTGTAGCCGAAGATGAGGTCGATCCACTCGTTGAGGTGCTCCGACACATAGGGCGACTCCAGCGCCTCCCTGTGCTTGCGGATAAACTCCTCGGGACTGCCGTTGGCCCATGGCGGCAGGATCACGTTGTCCACCTGGCCGCATGAGGTTGGGGATGGGGTTGGGGGATGGGAGGTGGGAGGCGCGGGTGTTTGAGAATGATAAAAAACCACGGCGGCAGTATTGCGTTGTGCACATGGTGGCATGGGGTTGGGGATGGGGAGGGGCGAGTACAGATGACCTTTGAGACGTGTCAAGAGTTCTCACGTTGTGTATGTGGTGCCATGGGGTTGGGAGGAGAGGGACGAGCACAGGTGCACAGTGAAGCAAGTGGGGAAGAAGTTGAGAGGGAGGTGAGGAGGGAGGTGGGGAGGGAAGTGGGGACGGAGGTGGGGAGGGAGATGGGGAGGTGGGGAGGGAGATGGGAGGTGGGGAGGGAGGTGGACATGCGAGAGACACACCACACACCCACACCCTCAGACACACCAACACTCCCACAGAGACACACCACACACCCAAACCAACATCCACACCCACACCCCCAATCTCAACCCCACCCCCATCCCCACCCACACCCCCACCCACTCACCCCTTCCCCGCTCTGCTTGACACCCAAATCCAGATTAAACCGGTTCTCCAAAAACGTGGGCACATAATAAAACTCGGGCGTGAGCTCTTTAACATCGGCCGTGTGGCCCGTGCTGGCGCTCTTCCACGTCTCCTGGATGGAGTAGAACATGCGGTCCGCGTGGTCAAAGTGCCCGCCCTGCAGCTGCATGTTCTGCCGCGAGAACGGCGGCAGGCGCATCAGGTAGTAGAGCACCGTGCCCGCACTCGAGTAGTGCGACCCGTAGTGGAACCGTGGGATGTCCGGGTCGTCCCACGTGTTGTACCTGGCGTGTGTGGCAGGGGGATGGTTGGGGATGGGTGGGGAGGGGTGGGGAGGGGTGCGGGGAAAGGAGAGCGGGGAGGGGAGGGGGTGGTGGGTGGGCGGGGGCAAAGGGGGTTGGAGGTGGGGAGTAGGGGTTTGGGAGCACATGTTAGTGGAAGCACGGGATAATTGGGTCGTCCCATGTGTTGTACCTGGCATGTGTGCAGTGGGGGGATGGTGGGGGAGGGTTGGGTGGTGGGTGGGTGGGTGGGTCACAATGTGTGTCTGCGTGCGGCTGCTGGAGGCTTGACTGGCTGACGACTGTCAAGAGGATGGCTGATGACTCTAACGAGAGAGGACACTCTACCACACGCACGCCCTTGACAGATTGCGTTCACACACCTGTGCACAACAACCAACCGTCAAACCCCGATTCCCTCCAGGCAAGCAAGTCGCCCCCCCCACGCCCCCCCTTCCCCCCTCCCCCCCACCCCCCCACGCACCTGCGCACAAACTCCTTCTCCCGCTCCGCAGTGATACACCCCATGGGCTTATTCAACGGGCGGAAAGAGGTGGGATCGCTCAGGTCGAGCTCCTGACTGAGGTAATCCGCGAGCACCCAGGGGAAGACGGGGTACTGTGTGAGGTCGTTGTACCCGCGCCCAGCGAGTGTGTTGAGGTGCATGAGGTAGTGGAAGTTGCTGATCTCGCCCGCCTGCCACCGCTTGCCCAGCGACTTCGCCATCATCTTGAACAGCCGGTGTGGCTCCGCTGCCTCTGTGGCGTTCGATATCGTGGAGTCCAGCCTGGTGGGTGGGGTGGCGAAGTGGGGGGGGTGTGAGCAAGAGTGGGGAAGAAAGGGGGGTGAGGGTGAATTTTGAGATGTCTCCGAAACAGCTGGTGCGGCGCTGCTGCTGCCTCAGTGGCGTTTAATATTATAAACTCCAGCCTGTCGAGTAGGGTGGGAAAGGGGGGAGGAAGGGGTGGGACGAGGGGGAAGAAATAGGAGGGTGAGAGGCAGTGGGTCAATAGAGAAGGCATTGAGAATTGGCTCTGCAGGTCGACTGGCAACAACTGGAAATCCTCACCAGATGACTGCCAACCAACACTACAACCAACTCACAGGCTGTTCCTAGGGAGGTTCATGGCCTGCAGGTTCTTGAAGCACTCGTCACGCTCATTGATGTGGAAGACGAGCAGCTCGTTGTTGCCCGACATGGAGAACAGCTCTATGGCCACGGGCCGCAGCTGGTAGCGCCGCTTCAGCACCTCATGCACCTCCTCGTGCTTCCACTTCTTGCACTCGTGCGACAGTACCGCCTCCTCCGCTGCCGCCTCCTCATCCTCCTCCCCTTCTCCTGCCAATTCCCCCGAGTTCTCCCCCCCACCGCCGCCCGTCGCTCGCCACGCTGCGACCGTCTCCGCCCACCCACCAACTAGACCCACTCCATGCCTCTTCATGGGATTCGCCCCGCACGCTGCTGCGGTGAACCCTGACGGCTTCCCCGGCTTCATCCCCAGCGCCTGATCCAGCACAGACACCGTCCCTTCAGCCTCCTTCTCCCGGAACCTCCCAGTGCTGTCGATAAAGTAGTTGTCAATCACATACAGGCACTGCTCGCCTATGAGGAAAATCCCATCGCGCTTATCCAGCCCAACCACACGGTCGCAGTTATACCGGAACCGGATTCGCTCCCCGGGTTCCAAGTGCGGGCGAATCAGATACTCCCCGTCGTCGCTCTCTGCGCCTCCCCCTGCTCCGCCTCGCAGGCAGTCAGCACCCAGGTCATACCCCATGCGCTTGCTGCTGCTGCGCGATGCAGGGTCTGCACTGCTGCTGCTGCCACTGCTGCTCGCCTCTATCCCCCGCCCTGCAACCGGCCCGCTTGCACCAGAACTAGCACTTGCACTGCTGCTCAGCCTCCCGGATTTCGCTGCATTGGGCTTGGAGCCATCAATCGCACCACCTGTTGCTGCACCCCCCTGTCCCTCGGTCTTCCCAGCTTCCTCCGCAGCGTCGCTCTGCTCCTCCGCCTCCTCCTCGGCCAATGCTTCCATATGTGAAGCAACAAGGTCCGCCAGGCTACCACCCTCATCATCCAAATCAACCATGGTGGAGTGGGCGCGGTATATGCGAGGAGGGGTACCATCACTCACTGACAGCTGCAGGTACGACTCCTTGCCCCCCTCCTCCTTGCCCTTCCCACCCCCCGCCGCTTCTTCCTCTTCCTTTGCCGCTCCTTCCCCGTCCTTCTCCCTGCCTTTCCCCTCCGCATCCCCAGCACCGTCCTCTGCTGCCGGCTTGCTGCTCTCAGCCTTGCTGCTCTCCCTGCTGCGTCTCTCCGCCTCCCTGGCCTCCTCCTCCGCTCCTTCCACAATGGGAATCGGCTCCGGCTCAATGCACGTGACGCACTGCTTCTGTCGCAAGTCTACCTGCACCTTGCTCCTTCTCATCTTCTTCCTCATGCGGAGCGGCCCCTCAGTCGAGCACAGCTGCCACTGCAACGTCCCCGCTCCCTCCTCCTCTCCCTCCGACTCGTCCCCACCTTCGCCCTCCTTCTCCGCCCCTTCCTCGCCCCACTTGGACCTCTGCTTCGTATCCAGCCCCCCGGGCCAAGCCGGCCAGATCCCTCTCTCATGCACCAGCTGCTGCAGATGCCCCTGCCACTCCCTCTCCGCCTGCAACACCCACCCAAACTTATCCTGCCGCCGGACCAGCAACTCCTTGGCAATCCCAAACCGCACCTTCTCAGCTGTCCCAACATTCCCTCCCTGCTGCTCCTCATACCTCGCCATGGACCTCAGGCTGTCCCTCGCCCGCCGCTGCGCCTCCTTCCGCCGCCTCACCTCCAGCACCTTCACTCTGCCGTCAGCAGCACGAGCAGCAGCAAGCACAGCGTCGCGCCAGGCAGGAGTGGCCTTCTGCCCGAGCACCTCCACCACCAGCGCCTGGGACCCCACCAGCCAGTGCACCAGAGACGCCTCTCCGTTCTGCAGCACTGTGTCAAACCCCCCATGGAACAAATCCACCACATCGCCTCTCGGCGTGCGAAAGGTGAGTAGTTCCTCTAGCTCTTTAGCCCGGTGCGCCACCAGCACTTTCCACGCCTCTGCTGCTAACGCCACGTGCTGCTGCTGCTGCTGAATCAGCGACTCCCTCTCGTGCCCCGCTCCCCCACCCTGCTGCTGCTGCGGCAGCGACTGGGAGGGCGGCAGCTGGAGAATCATGTACGTGAGGTTATGGCACAGGCACGCGACCAGCTCTAAATCCACACTCACGCTCGACAGGATTATGCCGTGATTCGCAAGCAGCAGGTGCAGTGAATCTGATCGGTCCAGGCTGGGATCGAGAGCAGGGACCATGCGCCTCTCCCCCACCCACGGTTCTGCAGCATACGTGCCACTCGTTCGCACCGACCCTGTCAGTTCGTCCCCGTCCTCCCCGCTTGTCACAGCTCTCACCCCCACCATGTCTGAAGGCAGGAACGAGTACAGCACCAGCCGCCCACAGGCTTTAAGCAGCGCGAGAATGTACGGCTCCAGGAACGTGCCGCGAGTGCGGATGAGCAGCCCTCTTGTGGCCGGCTGGGCGTTTTCAATGAGCCCGTTGGTGTTGGCCGCTTGGAGCAGCTGCAGCATGAATTGCAGCACCTGCTTGCATGACTTCGGCCGGGCAAACGACCCGCAGAAAGCAGCATCCGCGAGTACAGGCGCCAGCGCCTCTAGATTCGGCCCCCAGCGTGCACGATCCAGCTTGCTGGCCTCTACACTGCTTGCAAGCAGACACCGCTCGAGCACCAGCAGCACGCGCTGCAGCCACTGCCCTGTGAAAACCGCTGCAACGTCAGCGGGAATATCCCCAGGCACGGCGTCCTGCACCGCATCTAGCAGCGGCGCACTCTTAGGGACCTCCAGAAGCGCCCCTGCCACCACCTCCCCGATTATATCCAGCACTATCCCTGCTGCTACCGCCGCCACGTTCCCTTTCATACTCTCTGCTTCTACGAGAAAGAGTGCCTCTGGGACGAGCGCTGTGAGCCCATCGGTGTGCTCGTCCACTGCCCCAAACATCTCCCCATCCAGCTTGCCGCTGCCCGTCTTCCCCAGAGAGGAAAACCCGCTAGATGCAATCTCGTCCGTCGATTCCCTCGCGCCGCCCAGCCATGTCATCATGGACGCAGCGGTGACGCTGAGGTGGCGCGCGAGGGGGGAGTTGTACGAAGGCGACCCGGACTGAGCTCCCAGTGGCCCTGCCTGCCCTGCCAGCCCTGGCTGTCCCATTTGGCCTCCTGTGTACCCCAACACTGAACCTGCACTGGCAGACGCTGAGATGGCAGGCCGGCTTGCAGTGCCCACAGCAGCATCTGCCGATCCAGACAGACGCACCCGAGCGCCCTTCCTATCCGCGTCAGCCCCATACACGGCCCGATTCCCCACCTCGTCTCTCTCATCCTCATCCTCCTCCTCCTCGCCCTGTCCCCCCTTCCACTCAACCCCTTCTTGGTCGTCCTCCCCGTCCCCCTCGTTGTCCCCGCCTGAAGCGATGGCTTCAAGGGACGCGGTGCGGGAGGCCTTGCGGGGAGGAGCACGGGATGGGGGGCGCGGGGAGGGGGCTTGTGTAGTGGCCTTGCGAGCCGCCTCCGCGCAGTGCCTGCGTACGTGGGATGTGGGGAGGTGGGTGAGAAGGTGGGGAGGTGGGGGTTGGGAAAGGAGGACGGGAGGGTTGACGATGAAGGACCCATAAAACTACCTCTACCAGTCCAGCAAACGCGAGGGAGCGTATGAGGGACGGGGGGAGCAGCACGTACCGCAGGCAAACAAAGAAGAGATCCAACAGGCCCTCAAGGCACTCGGGACGGCGAGTGGCAGCAGCCAGTGCAGTGGGCCCCGGGCAATGCACCCCATGCAGCCAGAACCGCAGCACACCCACCACCAGCGCCGCTGCCCCCTCCGCCCCTCGCTTCAACGGCTCTACAAGCGCCTGCCTCCCTCCTCCGCTCCAGTCCCCACTCTGACCCGCCCCAGCTCCCTCTCCTCCCCCCTCCGCTCCACCCTCCCCAGTATACCCGATAGGACTTGCAGCGACAGAGGGTTTCTTCTCGGCGCTCTCAGCGGGGACAGCAGAGAGCAACGCAGCGCGCAGCATGGCGAGGACGGAATCTAAGAGCTCCGGGAACAAGAGGTCCTCCCCTGGGCTCGCCTTGAGCGGCAGCAGCGCATGCAGGTCCAGCAGACGCACGTCGTCCCTGTCAGTGAGCGCGGGCTTTGGATCAGCACCAAAGAGCGCAGTGAAGAGCACAAGGAAGATGTCCGGCTCGCCGTGGTACGACGCGAGCACGCGCGACAGCGAGTAGAACCCCCCGGCCTGGCGGAACCGCGTGGCAAACTGCGTGGGCGAGCGCAGGGAATCCGCGAGCAGGATGAGAACACGCTTAAGGGAGGACTCATGCAGGTGGGGATCCAGCAGGAGAGTGGTGATCTTGGTGGCTACTGCCCTCTGCCACAGGTCCAGGCGTTCGTCTGTGGGAGTGAGGCCCAGGCGCAGCTGCAGCTGAATGAGCATCTCTAGGAGAGCGTTGCGCGTGGCTACGTGACGCCCGTAGGGTTCTCGAGCTGCAAAGGAGCCGCTGTTGCAGGTGACTGGTGGTGCCCCTGATCCAGCATTGCCACTGCTGCTGCTGCTCCTCCTCAATGACACCTCCCCTGCCCCGCCTGCTACCACCGCCCCTCCTGCTCCTGCTGCTGCTCCCGCTGCTGCCATCCCTCCTGCCCCTGCTGCAGCTCCCCCCTTGAACGTCATGAGGACGAAATCCGACACCTGCTTGGTCTCCGCAGGCAGGAACCCAGCTCCCAGCACGCCCCCCAGCACCCCCACAAGCTTCCTTATCACCTCCGGGTCCAGCTCCGTGTGCTGCAGCGCCAGCAGCAGGCGAGGCACCACGTCCAGGCGCCTGAGAAACGCAACATTGTGGCGGCGGAAGCGGCTGCGGGTGACAACGAGGTGAAGGAAGTCGAGGAGTTCGTGCTGCAGTTGCAGAGGGGCGATGGACCAAATGGTCCAGTCCAGCAGCACATGCACCACCAGCCCAGGGCTGCACAGCACCACCTCTGATGCCTCTGCTGCCTCGAAAGCCGCACACACAGCGGTCACAGCAACAGCAGAGGGGTCTGCTGCGAGAAGGAGAGACGAGGGCTTGTGGGTGGCGGGCGCGGCGAGCGAGAGCAGGAGGGAGAAAGACGCGGGGGTGACGAGGGGCATGCGCTGGTGCAGGAAGATGGCGAGCATGTGGTGCCCGCGCAGGCGCCGCATCTCCTCCTGGTTGCGGGGGTTCTCACGCAGGCACGATGTGAGGAGGGAGAGCGCGAGGTGCAGGCGCTCAGAGGTGTCTGCCATGTCAAGCAGAGCGAGCAGCACTGACATGCCGCCTATGACTCGCAGGCCATCTGCCACGCTGCTGGGGCAGCACAGCTGGATGTCGCCGAACAGAGCGGCCATCTTGGGACCTGGTGTACAGGGGAGAGGAGGGGAAGCAAAAGCAGGAGGGTGTGAGTGGGTGGAGTGCTTGGGAGGTTCTTTGAAGCGATTTAGTATGGAGGGCTGGATATGCAGGTGTCTGTGACAGCACGCGAGCGTAGGCATGCCTTCAGTCATGCTCCCATGCCACACACCTAGCGCACAGTGCGAAGCGCACAGCACACAGCACACAACACACAGCACCCAGCACACAGCTGACCTCCAAGGGACGAAGCAGAGCCATGGCTGAGGTCCACCAGATTCACCATGGTGCGCGCCAGAGACGCGGGGCACAGCTCGCCATTCTCCTCCAGCTCCACCGTGGACCCATCAAACTTGAAGATAATCTTCCTGCTCGCCACCGCCGCCGCCGCTGCTGTGGGCTTCTCTGCATCCCACACCACCGGGCACAGCTCGCCCTCGCCGGCCCTCGCAGCAGCAGCAGCCATGTCATGGAAGATCGACGAGTCGTCCCCTTTCACCCACAGCCCCGTCGGGGTTCCCCCCTGCGCGGCCGCCTCTGCTTCGATCCGCTCCACCAGCAGCAGATTGCGAGCGTTGCTAGCCTCCAAAGGGAGGAACTGGCGAATAGCCGGGTCCTGGAACACCCCGCGGTACCCTCGGCCAAGCAGGTACATGAAGAGCACCGCAGAGGACGAGACGGCTTCCTCAAACAGCACGGTGGGGCCCAGCTGCCACGTGAGCGGACTCACACAGGCCGCCTCGCTGCCTGTCCCCAGAGTGACTCTCAGCAGCTTGCCTTGGGGCGATGGGGCGAAGGATAGCTTGCCGGTCTGCTGCAGCAGCCCGTCGATATAGAGCGAGGCGGAGTCCACATGGAAGAAACCCGAGAGGGCTGACGGCTGTCGGAACACCACAGTGATAAAGTGCCACGATCCCTCCTTCAGCTGCACGTTTGAGAACCGCACCTTGCTGCTGCTCGTGCCGCTGCTGCCGCCGCCGCTGCTGCTGCCACCAGACGCACTTCCAGTAACCGACCCGCCCCCACTCCCACTTCCACCAGTACCCGAGTTGGTGTTAGCAGCCAAGGTAAGAACCCCGTCCTCGTCAATAAAGAGCTCTGCGCAGCACTCATGAGGCTCTCCTGCCGGTGCCACAGTGAACACCTGCAACCGCCTGGCCCTGCCCAGCCTGCCGTTATCACTCCCACCCCGCTGCGACCCAAAGCTCAGCCTCGCCCGCACCTCACTCTCCTCGTCACTCTCCCCGTCGTCTGCATCGCTGCGCAACCCCGTGAACCGGAGCCAGCACGCGAAGGAGAACCCTCCAGCAGGGGGCCAGGGGCGCTCGCCTATGATGGCATGGGCGCCCGCATACCCCACGCGGCGCATGCTGAGGTCGGCAAAGGAGGAGACGGCTACGCTTTGCGCGGAGCCAGAGGAGGCGGCGGCCATGCGGCAGAGCATGCGCAGGAAACGCAGCCCCATGGGGTCGTGCGGCGCGTCTGCTGGCTGCCGTAGCCGCAACGCCATGAGCCGTAGCTCCGTGGGTGAGATTCTGAGAGGGTGGGGAGTTGAAGAGGGGGGAAGGATGAGAAAAAAGTGGGGAGACACGTGGGATGACGGATCGTTGACGAGCTGTGGTTGAGGAGAAAAGATGGAATGGAGACGACAGATGGTGCTAGGCTGCAGGAGAGAACCAGAGACGCACCTGAAGGTCCCAACGATTTCAACGGTCTGGAGAATGGTGTCGATGGTTCCTTCCACAAGGGTGTGCGACTTGTGAATGAAGAGCTCTAGCAGCACTTGCACCACGTCTGCCACACACACACACACACACACAAGACACACAGCACAACGCACAAGAGCACAAACAGCACCGACAACTTGTCAACAGAAAAGGCAATAAAGCCATCAGCGGAAACAAAAGACAGGCTCCTCAAACGCCCGTCCCTCCACTGTTTACCCATTCCATTGCCGTAGCAAAATAGACTCCACGCCCCACATTGCTCCAACTCATCATACTAGCCACCAGCAAAACCAGACTCACGAATGCTACTGAGCGCCTCTGCATTGCGGGGCGAGAGCTTGGCGAGCACAAGCACGGCCGCCAGCAGTCGTTCCACCGTGGGGGTGGCGAGCAGATGAAGCGAGTCCAACAGCATCTGCACCACCACTGCATTGTGCACTGTCACGCCCTCCCTATCCCGCACAACCCCCACCTCATCCACCACCCACTCACACGGCCCCCACGGGCTCCCACCCCCTCCTGCACCCCCACTCGCCCCTCCCCCAATGCTCTCCCTCCTCCCGGACCCCTTCCCTGACAGCCTCCCGGCTGACCCGCCCGCTTCACTCTCCAACCCCCTGTCGTCATGCCCCGAGTGCGGAGCAGCATGGGAGCCCTTCACAGGCGTGGGCGAGGGCGAGGAGGGTACGAGAACTTGAGGCAGGCTGGTGCTGCGAAGGGTCTCTGTGGCGAGATCCAGCAGGGAGCGGATCAGCCGCACGTCGTACGGCGGGGCGAGCAGCCCCGTGTGGGGCAGCTGGCGGGAGAACTCCTCTGGTTTGATCACTCGCCGCAGGGCCAGGCGGCCTGCGGGGTTGGCCCTCACTGCTCTCAGCAGCACGCTCAGAAGCGCGTCGACAAACTCAAACTTGAGCGCGAGGGGCGTTTCGCCTAGGTCAGCGAGCTGGGCTGCCTTGGACATCATCATCTGGTACCGCCCTGTCACTGGCGACCCTTTACCCACGCCTCCCACTGATAACGCCGACCCAGCAGCAGACGCAGCACCAGCTGCACCTGCCCCAGCTGCAGCAGCAGCCCCGGTAGATCCCTTCACAGGCGGCTTTCCAGCAGCAGCAGGAGCGGCAGGAGCAGCAGCAGCAGGCTTAGAAGCGCTGGGGTCAAGAGAGCTAGAGCCCTTGATGCTGGCGATGACAGCCAGGCCAAGGGAAAAGCCATCGACCTTAAGGAACGTCTCCTGCACTGCAGGGTTGGCGGAGAGCACGTGGGACAGCGTCCACAGCACCTCTGTGCGCGCTGCTATGTCCAGCCGCCACATCCTGCCTCCTGGCGACCCTGCCACTCCCCTCCGCGCCACCTGCACCAGCCCAGCCACCTCGTCCGGATTGGTCTGCAGGGACCGATGAGGGATAGTGGAAGGTTGAGGGTGGGAGGGGGCGAGGGAGGGGAGGAGATGAGAAACAGGGAAGGTGAGAGAAGCAGATGCAAAGCTTCAAAGTCTTCTTCTTCACATGCAACATCAGATTCCTTCAATGGCCCCAACCTCTTAAGTCGGTAACAGCACAGGGCAAAGGGCACAGGGCAAATCACCTGAGCCAAGTCCTCAGAAATGAGGATCGTGAGGAGGCGCAGAGCAAAAGGGCGGTGGCGGGAGGACGCGAGCAGCGGCAGCACCGTCTGCAGCCCACGCTTCTGCCTGAGGACCTTCTGGTTGGCCGGGCTGTGCGTCATAAGTGCCAACACACACTCCCACGCTGCCTGACATGTGGTTTCCTCATCAAAGAAATACGACTGCACTGCACCCATGCCGCCGCCCGGACCCATGCCGCCGATTGAATCGGACGAGAGACGCCGGCCCAAGGACGCGCGCATGGCGTCCATACGGCTCTTCATGACACGGGACATGGGCGGCTGGTTGTGCGGGTGGGGATGGGAGTGCGAGTAGTCACCGGAATCAGCAGAGGCAGGGCGAGAGAGATGAGAGGAGGAGGACGAGGAGGTTGACGAGGGCGACTGGGGGAAGGAACGGGAGGAGGCAGAGGAGGAGGGAGAGTCGGCCCCTCCTGCACCACCCTGTGTACCAGCACTACCACCACCACCAGCAAGAGAAGCAGCAGCTGAGGACTGCGGCGTGAAGAAGACCGAGGGGACGGACCCATCAGCAAGCACAGGGGTCGACTCTGGAGGCGAGCACTTCCTAAGGTCCGTGACAAGGATATCCACGAGCCCCACGTCCCGCAGCACCTCCACAAAGTTCTGCTCAAACGACAGCAGCTTGTTGAAGAAGATGAGCGCAGAGCGGGAGAGAGACGTCGGCACGGGCTTCTGTAGCTCAATGCAGAGCGCTAGAAGCTCCTGCTCTGGGACTATGTTGAGTACAATGACTGTGTATTCCAGGACCTTGAGCAGCTGCTCCTGCAGCATGCGCGGGTACTGGCCTATGTTGCGAATCAGCATCTGGAACGTCTTGAGCTCCTGGATAACCGAGTAGTTCTCTGGGAAGAACGCGTAGAGGTTCTGCAGGCGCTCCAGCACGAGAAGCTGCACGGGCAGCTGGTTCGTCTCCAGGAAGACGTTCTGCAGCACGAGCACCGCGTCGGGATCCCTCACCCGCAGGGACTCCAGTGACTTCACCTGCGCTCCTGGCAGGTTGGACAGGTCCTTCTGCCGGCCCGACGGGGACCGGAAGAACGGGCGGGTGCCGGTGGTGTGCAGCCGAGGAGGGTCGCCGCCAACAGTCTGAGCCATGGCCACAAGAGCATCGAGCAGCTTTACTAGAGAAGAGGGTACTGCTGGCTCTGCAGGCTTTACTGCCTCCTCTGGGCTTGACCCTCCTCGCTTCTCACTCTCTCCCTCCCCACCATCCTCCCCCTCGCCCATTTCCCCTTTCTCTGGCTCCTCCCCCTTGTCCTCCCTTGCAGCTTCATCAGGGTCTGTGCCCGAGCCAGGGAGAGGGGCTAGCGGGGAGGGGGCGGGGGAGAGCGGGGGCTGCTGCAGGAGAGGGGAGGGCGAGTTGTGGAGCTGGGCGACGGGCGTGGGGTCAGCAGGTGTGTCAGCTGCGAAGGTGAGCTTGAGCACGAGCTGGCCCAGCCAGAAGTAGCCCCGCAGAGAGCGAAAATCCTCCTTCAGCTTCACAGGACCCGCGTCTGAATGCGGGAGAGCGGGGTATGGGAGGTGAGGAGAGTGTGTGTGTGAGTGGAGATAAACAGAGAGGTGCTGTGGTGGTGGAAGCATAGTTTTGGAGAGGATCGCAGTAAGGGAAGGTTACGGGCGTATGCGCAGAAATGTTGTGTGGGATGGGACCATGGGACATGCCTGGGCGGAAGGCGAGGCGCAGGCATTCAATGAGGGCGTTGACGAGCAGCAGCACATGGTGCGAGTCCCCCGAGTCCACCTCGTACTGTATCACCGCCTTGAGCAGCACCTCCAGCTGTGCACCGCACATGCCATGCACATGCACACACATGCACCCATGCACACATGCACCCGTGAATGCATGCATGCGTACATGCACACACGCACCCGTCAATGTATGCATGCATATATGCACACGTGCACCCATGCGCAAATGCACCCGTCACGCATGCACACATGCACAAGCACGCGTGCACAAGTGCGCGCGCGCGCGCGCACACACACACACACATGCACACCCATACGACAAGCATCCTTGCCAGTTAGCAAATTCTTAGTGGCTCCTGGATTGCCTACTCATTTTGTTGACACACCTCAAAACAAAGAGATTGGGAGTAACAGGAAGCAGTAAAACCGACCATTGAACTTACAAGGTTGTGGTTGTGGATATAGCGCGCCACACCACCAGTGTCACTCGCCAGAGACAGCTCCAGAATCTGACAGGACGTGCATGAGGAGCATGGGGAAGAAAGAGGAAAGAGGTGACAGGAAAGAGGAGAGGAGACGCCACAGGATGAAGGACCGACCGACCAGCAATAATAGAGCACGAGCGAGCAGGTACCCACCCACGAATAGGGGGGGGGGGTGGGATTCCGCACTGGAGATTTCATGGAGACGAGTGAAAGTCACACCACACCATAACCCAGCACTCCACGCCACGGCACAGCAAGCACGCACCTCTGCTGCTGCATTGCGCAGCTTAGGATCGAGCTCGAGGTTGGCAGCAGCGGCGCCAGCAGCAGCGCCCGAGTAGTCGCCCATGTAGCTGAAGGAGGGGGAGAAGAGCCCGGCTGCAGCGCGGAACATCTTCTTGAGCGAGTCGTCCTCTATCAGACTCACGGCCGCCCCGCTGTGCACCGCCAGCCCCTTCATCAGCTCTATCACACGGTCCTGGTGTCACGGAGTTGGAGCCCGGGGGGCGGAGGTGGGGTGTGTGGGAGTGGCGTGGGGTATGGGAGAGAGTTGGGTTATGGAGAGAGAGGTGGGCTATGTGGAGAGAGGTGGGTTATGTGGAGAGAGGTGGGTTATAAGGGCAGAGTGTGTGAAAGTAGGGATAGTGGGGGGAGTGGAGGGGAGGGAAGGAAACGGGAGTTGGATGGAGACGAGTCCAAGCAAGAGAAAGGATTGAATGCACTTTAACTGGTTCGTGTTTGCCTTCTGCAATGTATAAGGTAGTATTACCTGGGTACTCCTGAACTCGTTATCAACCTTCAACCCCACCACTGCACACCCCAACAGAACCCTTTCCCAAGGCCCCTCAGCGGAAACGTAAACACACACACCTCGACTTGTGTGCCACGAGGGTCGAGAGGCGGGTCGTCCTCTCCTAGGTCGTCAGTGCCGTTGAAGGACGCGGAGTCGTCGTCCGGCACACAGAACTCCGTGAATATGGACACCAGCATCGACAGCAGCCCCGCATCCAGCAGCCCCTGCACCTCCAGCGGCTGGCGGGAGCCGGGCGGGGGACGAGGGGGGATGGGGGGAGCGGGGAAGAGGGGGGATGGTGGGTGGGGGGGCGAAGAGGGGGGATGGGAGAGAGGGGAAGATGGCGAGAAAGGGTTGGGGCGGGAGGAGGGAGGAAACGCGCGGAATGATTGATTGATGGGGGGGGTGGACAGGAGAGGGGGTGAAAGGAGGACGGAAGAGTAGTGTCATGCAATACCAGGCCAGGTGGATGGACGGGAGGTACGCAGGAGACGGGGTTGTTGTGGGGCAGGGAAGAGGGCATTCACAGAGAGGTAACGAGTGCGTTGCGGTGGGAAGAAAGGAGGTAAGAGGGCTTACCGGGGAGACGAGATGCTCAAGGCTTCTGAACAGCACCGCGCCTGAGAGCTTGACATCCTCCTGTGCGCGCAGAGCAGAGTCGAACAGGGAGGGAGAGAGAGAACCAGCGCGGAATGCGGAATGAGTGACCGGATCGGACGGACGGACCAGCAATGCTCTCCCCCGCGATGTGCGTGTGGTGCGGTGTCAAGGGCTCTCAGCGACAGCACTTAGGCTAAGGCGCGCGCATTGCATTCACGTTCGCGTTCGCGTTCGCGTGCAACTCACCTGGTCGTCGTACGAGAGCAGCTCTATGATCTCCTTGCGCGGGAAGAAGCCCTTGGCGCCGCGCGCTCGCCGGCGCGTGTTAATCTCCTCGCAGAACAGCCGAGCCACCACAAACTGGAACGGCCGCACGTCCACAAGACTGGCGCACGCGCAACGTAGAGCGGGGATCATGGATAGAATTTCGGGGAGCGCGGGTGGGTTGGGAGAGGGGGTGTGAGGGAGGGTAGGGGGGAGGAGCCGCGGGAAAGAGGGAGAGAGGGGAAGTAAAATAACGACCGTCACTAGGAACCTCTTAGCAGCACGTAAGGTATTGAAAATGAGAGTGATCGAGACCAGGCGCAAGGGCGACATGGGGCGAGGCGGGGGGGCGCGAGGCGAGGAAAAGCGGGTTGCGCGTGCGGTGCAGTGCAAGTACACTACTCACTAGTGAACGATCTCCGCGACGTGGTTCTTGTCGTCGAGCAGCTTGCAGAAGAGTCGGAGAGCCATCACCAAGGCAGTCATGCGCTCCTGTAACCACGGCGCGCACCACGAGGAGAAACACCCACAACACTCAGAACCGCTTGCTACTCGCTCATTGCTCGACGGCTCAGCTTTAAATCGTGGTTCGACTCTGAAGAATGTCAACGAAAGAAGAAGGGGGAGTGGGGCTGAGGGGAGAGGAGAGGGGGGGAGGAACGAGAGGATAGCTTACCCCTTCGGAGTGCGAGCTCCTGAACATCTCCCATAGCCTTCTGAAATCCGCGGCCCATTGCTCCTCCCTGCGAAGCGGAACCGAATATGACGTCAGCCAGACAGACCAGGAACCGAATTCGACATCGGGCAAACCCTAATGCGGATTTCTGGTGCGCTCAGATGATATGACCACATCATTAACTACGTCGGCGCGCGTAGCTCCGGACTAGAGCCGACGTGCGCTTCGCTGCATTGGCATTAGGTTTCGGGAGGCGGGCGCGGTAAGGCTAACACACCCATCCGACGAACACGGTCTCTAGCTAGAAACGTGAGGCTTCGGAAGGCGGACGAAACCTAGCCTGACCCGCTGCAGGATGAAGAAACGATACAAAAAGGTGAAGAAAAAAGACAATCGGGAGCTTTTAACCTACTCTTTTGTCAGTTCTTCGGGGCCGCCCAGCGAATCCCTACGTGTGGCTGTATCCACCCAGTCCCGCGCCGCCGATATGGCACTCGCCCAGCCTTGCATTGCGAACCCCTACCCTACGCCAGTTCGCCTTTCTGTTTACCCCAGCGCTACTTCCTCGCTGCTCCCAAGGGCAGATCGCAGCGCTGGGCCAGTGAGCGAGAGACGCCAGATGAGCTGGGCTGATACGCAGTGCAGCTGCTGGCTTTCACTGGTAGAGAGCTGGGCAAGATCGATATATCTGCGGATCCGACGGGAGGAGTGGGTTGAACATCACGGAAGAGATTGAGGAGTGGACCAGAAATGCAGAAGCGAGTTTAATGGACGGCTGCGATAGGATAGTCACGGTTCGTCCATATCGCACTTCAAACAGGGTCGACGAATTGTCCAGTCCCTTCGGAAACTGAAAAGACTGCCGAGTTTCCACCCATTGTATATTTTCACGCGTTTCGCAGCTTTTCAAGACAAAGAGAGCCGCCAGTTATGGAATCAGAGGATGATGGAATCAGCGTGCGACCGTTGAAACGAGAGGAGAAAAGTGGTGCACGAGGCAAAACACTGGCTCAAGCTAAGGTATACATTCTGGATTGAGAGCGAACGACAGGTAAGGGAACCAAATGCAATGGAGGAACATTTTGTAATGACTCCAATGGGAACTGACGAACGAGCGAGAAAGGGCGGAGAGAGACATGATGACGACTTGGGGCCAAGAAGGGGGATGAGACGGAGGGAAAGGAAAGGAGGAGAGATAACGGGAATAACGGCGACGAGCGATGAATGCAGGTGGAAAGGAGACGATGAATGTGTGTATGTGCCAAGAGGAGGAGAGGCACACTGAAGCATCGCAAGGGAAAGTGCAAGAAATGAGCAAGCTGTAAGCAGAAAGTCTGTTCACCGAGTCTCATACGGATGCTATTAGTTACCTTGTTCACTGGTGCAATGGGGGAGTCCGTCCACACATAAATACTAACTAATCCACGGGGCCAGATTGTAATCAAGGAACTGGCCTTGCACTATAAACTGTAGCTGAGACGGACTAGGAAATATCAACCTTTCTAAATCCGAGATTTCCTCTCAAACGCCCATGAAGAGGAGACAAATGTTGCCTCCCACAGATCTCGTGAAACATTGCAGGTTTCCATCCACATAGCCTTTTCCTTCCGCTCGCAATCACAGGATCCATGTATACCTGATTCAGGGACCAAGGAACTGTTGGGTTTGTGTGGCGTGGCGGGAAGAGGGGAGGGGTGAGATGAGGGGAGGGAAAAGGGGGGCTCGACTCGCACAAGAAGGACTGCTTGAGAGAATGGCTGACCTGAGCTGCCCGAACCTGGCCTGCCTAGGATCACGAGGGAGCAGAAACCAAGGGCGGAGCAGCAGGGCACGGCAGTCTCGAGGGTGTTGAGGGGGATACGGGTCTTCTTGAGTGAAGTGGAGTGGGAGGGCCCTGGTCTGGGCCCTCTGGAGACAATCAATGAACTGCCCAGTCAGCGCACGGCCACGTTGGCGCTTACTGCACTGTACTGTGCCACTCCCGGTCACTTCTGAAACTTTTCGCTCAGGTTGAGTCAGATCGGATGATGCAAAGTGATGGATCGAACGGCGGATAGGATACTGTAGGAAGCACCAGATTGGCCAAGCGGCGACAGGGGTGAGGTGAGATGTGCGCCAGTTGAGATCATCGACTAACACCCGCCAAACTCGGCCTGATTTCATGAAAGCTGCATCACCGAAATTATCTGACAGGTGGGCAAGCTCATCAAATATATGATATTTCACTTTAGCACTTAGTGTTGAATCTCAAATATATTCACCAATACGTAATGTACCATAGTGACTGTCGAGCAGCTATACAAAATTACATCCCCTTTAGTCTACAACTAAATTGTTGACAAGTATTTACAGACAAAATTTCATGGATACTGGATACAATTTGGAAGCAAAACAAAGTTTTGTCAGATATATGGACAAAGTACGGTATTCGTTCTGTACATGCTCACTACATGCGAATGTAGGCTTTATGCATCCCTTGAATTGTTTAGTGTGTTAGACATACTCAGGCTAAGAGATAAACCTATCTTCGTATCTACCATCGGACAGTCTACATACATCACGCATGCCAAGGATAGAGTATCTGTTGTTTGCAATGCCATCATACACCACATCCCGCAGCGGCCTGTGAAGCAATGCGTCAGGGAGAGGAAAGGAGGGGAGGTGAGTCAGGCAGAATGAAAACAGTAACTAACATCTCATACGGTAAGACAGGGCAAAACGGGAGACACGTAAACAGGATCCCAGAGCATGCTAGGAGAAATTGACAGGTTCAAGCCATTACTTCGGTGCAAGTGCGGCGAGGAAGGCCAATGGCGGGTATGGGAGGTCAAGAAGGCGAGCAATCCTCAACACTGCGTCTGATTTTATGTAAGCCCTGGGTATAGGAGAGAGGGCGGACAGTGGGAAAACATGGGAGAGACAGACACGGTGAGTGCGTGTGGGCAGTGCTTAGCAAGAAGCAGGACAAAGCAGCAGTTGCTCTGGTTGTATGGGAAGACACACAGCAGTCATGGTGGCAACTCACCCATCCCTCTCGACCAGCACTATACTGCTGATGTCGTCTGGTGAACGTCCGGAACGAGCCAGCAATGCCCGCCCAGCCTCGCTCTGCAAGGCCGCGAACCGGAGACGACTGAAACAGCGACAAAGGATGGGTTGGGAGTGGCGCAACATTAGGCATGGCATAGTTGGTTGAGGGGAGGGACGGGGCTGGGGCAGAAGAAAAGATTTATCAGACGGCACTACGATTGAGAGGAGCGTGAGGAAAATGTTGGCTGAGAAGCTAACACGGGGTTAGATTGCCATTGGAAGTTAAAAAGTGGTTGCTAAAAGTTGATCATGGATCATAACCTGCCACTGCTACCCGTGCGCTCACCCCTGTGGATCTGCATCAAGGGCGAAATTGACCCCGCCGTTGCACATGTTGCACACGCCTGCTCAGGGAACGGAATAAGGCAGCGCGTGCATGAATAAGGCAGGGTATGGCAGGATGATTTTGATGAATTCGTGCACTTCCCAGCAGAGGAAAGGCGGCGTGTGGCGAGGAGCAGGTAGAGTTCATGAGCTACTAAACAAACGCATTCAATGACACGTCACGACTTGTTATCCGTAGCTGAGGGAAATCAATTGAGCGTTATCTCAATGTCACAGGAACAGCGAGCAGTCTAAAGGAAGTGCAAATAAGTTGGGAAGCCCAAGTACCATCGTAAAGCACGATGGGTCGGTCGTCCGTCGCGAAATGATCAACCAAGCCATTTTCCGTCGAGGTTTCGACGCTTTTGGCGGCAGCGGAAAGAGCGGTAACTCGCGAGCAGTGGAACTTCAGGCCACGTGACGACGGGTTGACGGCGTGCAGGATAGGGCGATTGTTGGAACGCAGAACGAGTGGAGTGGTCGAGGCTGGACAGAGACGAAATGAGGAATCTCTGGAATTCAATGCTGCCGTGGACACGGATTCATGGAGACACGGGCAGGGGCGGAGAGAACCAATCTGCGCGAGAGCCATGGCGAGAAGCCTGGTGGTGCTTTGCGTTCAGGAGCGGACGGGAGAACGGGAATGATGGTGTGAAATGGGAGTGGTGCTGTGTTGGTCTCATATGGTTGGTGAGTGAGTGAAGTGAATCTAATGTGCTGGCATTTCCCCTGGCACGCTTCATGCGAAAAAGGGAGAACCGAAGAAGAGTAACCAGTTGTCGTGAATAATATCATCCAATCGTGATGCCGCCTTTGAGTGATCAAGAACATGCCGCGTCGACACGATTTATGGGGGCGACTACGCCCGAACCTCTTTTAGAGCATACTCGACTGGGAAACTGTGAAATGAAGTGGTGCAGTTTTGAAACATCGTCGATAGATGCATACGCAGCACATAGCAGCCAGCCTTTTGTGCCATTTTGGGAATCCCGCGAAGCTCGGGGCTGCCAGATTACACCAGAACCGACACGACCCTGCAGGGTCTACGTGTCACAGGGAATCTTGGCAATCTCGAAACATGGAAGGTGTATTCGACCTCGTACCGCACTAAAATCGTTTGCCCTCTTATTTATACCTACCGAACCGTTTTCAAAACCTCATCGACGAGGGACCCTGCGGGGTGTCGAGTGTGATCATCCTCAACTTGTACCAGTCCTCCAGCCTCGTGTCGTAAACCGTGCCAATCTCCAGCTCACGCCGCGCCGAATCCAGGCTCCTCCACTGCTCACTCACATATTTACTCGTGAAAGCCTTGAATCAAAGCCGTTTTGGTTTTGCTGTCAGAACAGAGCTCCATGCCATTCAGTGGATCTGGGTCGCGCAGTGTTGTAGCTCCTGTCCTGTCTCCCCTGAACCCTTGTGAGGCACCCGTCAATCGTGTAGGCAGCTGATCACCTTCAAGTCCGTGCGACCTTTCCGTAAAGGCCTTACCCTCTTGTCTCTTGCCAGACGCAGCAATGGCCGCACGTACTCTCGCGATGTCGACTGTCACCGCGTTGTCCGGATCTCTCGCCTCCAGAGCTTCGGATCTGTCTCAAAGTCACCAGTTTCGGCCGCTGCCTCAGTCCTTCACACCCTCTTCTGTGTCGCTCAGAGGCAAGGCGGTGGCGACCCCAGTGACGTGTACAGCGACCGCGCCTGACACCAAGGCGGCGGCTGCCACGTCGGACGAGAGCCGCGTGTACAACTTTTCCGCTGGACCCGCTACGCTGCCGCGTAACGTGCTGGAGAAGGCTCAGGCAGAGCTTGTTGACTGGAATGGCAGGTGAGCAGTTTAAGTGAACGAATGTCCAAAAAAGGTTCTTGTCCTTTTTTTTCAAAGGTGCGCCCGACTCCTCTGTCGTCCAAGATTCACTGCACTTGAATTCAAAAACATACTCTTTCTGATCTAGATCGTTCTGGCCGAAGAGATCTGTACCATGATTTCATTTGCAAGAGTCTGGCATAGTTTATTCAGCACTCTTGCCGGATTCGGTATCTTCTCTTTTCTCAGTTTACTCAAGTTCATGTGACACACGGCTCTCACACGGTTCAATTGCATGTTCACCAACCCTCCCCAATCCGCCATCCTCCGCCCTCCACTCATCCCCCGCTCCCACTCCCCTCCCTCCCACCCCCCCTCCCTCCCGGCGCTCCCGTTTCAGCGGCATGAGCGTGATGGAGATGAGCCACCGCGGCAAGGAGTACCTGTCCATCATCCGCAAGGCGGAGGCGGATCTGCGCGCACTGCTCGCCATCCCCGACTCCTACGCCGTGCTCTTCCTGCAGGGCGGCGCCTCCTCGCAGTTCTCCGCCATCCCGCTCAACCTCTGCACGCCCGACGACACGGCGGACTATGTCGTCACGGGCTCCTGGGGCGACAAGGCGTACAAAGAGGCGGGGAAATACTGCAAGACGAATCTCGCCGCCACTGGGAAGCCCGGAAAGTACACGGACATTCCGCCGCCTTCGGAGTGGAATCTGACGAAGGGCGCCAAGTACGTGCATATCTGCTCCAACGAGACGATCCAGGGGGTGGAGTTTAAGGGGTATGACGATGTTGTTGCGGCGATTAAGGCGGGTTGCGGCGAGGACACGCTGCTGGTAGCGGACATGTCGTCGCACTTCTGCTCGTGCCCCGTGGACGTGTCCAAGTTCGGCGTAATCTACGCGGGCGCGCAGAAGAACGTGGGTCCGTCCGGCACGACGATTGTGATTATAAGGAAGGATCTGCTGGGCAAGGCGCAGCCGTCGACGCCCGTGATGATGGACTACGCGATTCATGCGGAGAACGAGTCGATGTGCAACACGCCGCCGTGTTACCCGATTTACATGTGCGGGCTCGTGTTCGCGGACCTGCTGGAGCAGGGCGGGCTCGCGGGCGTGCAGAAGCGCAACGAGGACAAGGCTGCGCTGCTCTACGATGTGAGTGGCTTCTGCTCTGCGTGTTGCGGGTGAATGGCACTGCCTTGTTGAGTCGCCAGCTCTGTGTTGCTGCTCCTTGCTTGTCTTGCTCCCTTCTCACATTCCGTGGCCACCCACTCACCAGTTCCCAAGCAACATTTGTACCATAAACCCTGAATCCCGCTACTCAATCTTCGGCATACTCCTTCCCCCATCCTTTCCCCTTTCTTCAAGCCTCTTCCTTCACCCGCTCGCCTCCCATCCCCACCCTTAACCCCCTCCTTCACTTCCGCTTGTCCCCCATTCCCCCCTGGCCATTCTGCAGGCCATTGATGGCAGCAATGGGTTCTTCAAGTGCCCGGTGGCCCCGGCAGTGCGGTCACTGATGAACGTGCCCTTCACCATGGCCACGCCAGAGCTGGAGGCAGAGTTCCTCAAGGCCGCCGCCGCGCAGCACATGGTGCAGCTCAAGGGCCACCGCAGCGTGGGCGGCGTGCGTGCGTCCATCTACAACGCCATGCCTCGTGCTGGTGTGGAGAAGCTGGTCAAGCTCATGAAGGACTTCCAGGCTGCTCACTAGATGCATGCATGGGGTGCTGCTAGGTGCTGTAGCCTTGGTTTTTGTACGGAATTAAATATATGCAACAATATAGTTGATGGACATGCATGCATATAGTTGAATGTGGGTATTTTTCTGACTTCAATCTGCATTGCTTTACTGAATTTTGTACAAAATCTCATTGTCAATGTGCTAACAGCTGGTATGGAGAGTATATACGGTACATGGTATGGTACGGTAACGTATATCATACCGTACGTTTCTTATGTTTCCAGAACGGCCGTTCTCGTCCCCAAAACGCTGAAAGATCTGCACATGTGCAGATAATCCAGTGGGCATCTTTCATTCGCGCGCGCCAACGACCAATCATGCCCGCCACCTTCCCACGCTCTTGCTAGCTTGTTACTATACCGGTAGGTCCACACGCATACAACCGCGTGACCCAGCGGAAGAAAAACGCACGGAACGGGCGTTCTCGTCCCCAAAACGCATCAGGATCCGCACAAGTGCAGAAAACGCAACAGGCATCTTTCATTCGCGCGCGCCAACGACTGATCATGCCCGCCACCCACCCACGCTCTTGCTGGCTTGGTAATACCGTCACCCCCCGAATAAGCCCCCATGGGGGGGTATAATAAAACATGATATTGAGAAAGCTTGCTTTCTTATTCTTATCAATTGGCATCGTTCTCATTACAAATGGCTTATTACAACATTTGCATCAACTTTGAGCACAAGCTGGTGCAATCAAATAACACTAGCTAAGATGTACCCTATCCAAGTGGCATTAGCAAGGCGGTTTACTCTGGGGTGGGTGGTGGGAGTGTTGAGTGAGCCGTTTGAAAATCGAGAAACGTGGGTGGAGGGAAATGAACTCCAACCCACGGTTTTTGTAGTTGGAGAAGGGCGTTTAGCGCGCTTCGACGATGCCAATTGTGCAGTACAAGCAGCTTCGCTTTCACAATACACAATTTTAAAAAACACAATGTGTGTTTAAAAATTATAATATTTTAGAGGGGTGGGCTTATAATGTACCGGTAGCAAATTTATAAGCGTCGGGGCTTATATAATGACATATATGAAATTTACTGTTTTTTTCATCACAGTGTTCATATCGTTCTTGCGATTTGAATCGCATCAAAATTAGAGAGTGTTGTAAATGAAATCTCGCGTGAGTTGGCAGGGATAGACTCCGTGCCAACACACACAGTCGAAATGGGTCATGTTTTCTACATGACAGGTCATTCTAACTAGACGCGCACGAAGTGAGTCGCGCGAGGTTAAAGGCCATCGAAATTCGGGACGCAAAATGGGTGTTTCGTTACAGATGTTTCATTAAAAATATATAAAACAATACAGATAAAAACGTTTATACTCTACAAGCCATCAAGGGTGCGCTTATAATCGAGGACCGGATATAAGCGCCACACCGTATTACCCCGGACATACCACCCGCCGAAATAGAGCACCCCCCGGGTGGCTTGTGCGGGGGGGGTGCTATAGCGGGCCTCATTTCTACTATACCCCCCTTTTGGGGCGATCTGATATAGCACCCGGGGGGGTGGGTGTTATGTACGGGTAATATTGCAGTTTTTGCAAATATACATTGTGGTTGACGGCGAACGTGCACTGTACTTTGGGTGGCACATTGTGGGCGATATTCGTGGCTGTGTGGTGCCAAGTCACACTGACGTGTACTTTCGCGTACACTTGTCCAGATTTTATGGCAGGCGAACTTCAGAAGAACCGTGATCTGACCCAACAGTTTGTGTGACTTCAGTACAGTAAAATCACGAGTGCCAGCTTGGTTGTGTGTTCTGTTTGATTTCGACCGGCCAGGGAAGTGAGGCGTGGGAGGGAAATGGGAGAAATTTGCGTGATTGGCTGCAACACTGATTTCTTGCTCTGAACCCTGACAACTCTGAGTAAGTCGTTGTTGGACACTGACCAATCAGAGTAGCAAACCTACGAAATATGTGCCCTCATAATCCAGGGAGAATTGTTTTCCCGAAATCAGGGGGGCCCGAAATGAAACGTCAGCCCTGGGGGGTGTGTCTTCTTTCCAATCAGGGCCTGACCGTGGGCCTTGT